AGATTTATCAAATGCCAGGCTTTGATCCCATTCGCGGAATAGTATCTACAGACACTGTCAACGGTCCCATATCAACTAGTATGGAGCAACGTGACATATTCACTGTAGAACTGGGAAATTTCCTATCACGGGATGTATTTGCTATGTATGTGTGTCAATAGTAAATTATAAAGGTAGGTGCAAGATTGACCTTGGATCGGTCATTCATATTCATCAGTTAGCTAGACGAACAGTAATTAGCTCATCCATCAATCACATTTCCCTCAATCATCCTTTGCTCAGGTGTTCCACCTCTCCTCCGTGTGATCTTTCTCCCATAGTTGCGGTAGAGATTCATCAATAGCTCTCTCACCACAGGATGGAATCCTGTTCTTGCGTCAAACTTGCTTCCACTATATGGAAACGCTACAATTTTCCTCCAGTCGGCGTTGTCCTCGAAGTAAAATTCCAAATCGAACGCTTCTGCTTTCTTGAGCATGTCTTTGAGCACTTCCCCCTTGTGACCGTTGATGTCTGCCCATGCCCAAAGAGCGGGATTGTAGAAGTCGAGGGTACCTGATGCCTCTGTTGCAAGGATCTGCGCATTGAACAACAGGTGCCGAAGAGTATTCAAGTCGCAATCGCAGTCTATAACCGCATACTGCAACATTTCCGTGGTAATACCCTTTGGCACACCCAAGAGAACCGCCAAAGCCGCAACTGCATGCTCGTTGCCCTCTCTAATAGCTTCTCGAATACCCACTTTTGCCACCTCACCAGCCATACTACCCTCCCAATCAATCTCACCGTTCAAACTCACTAGCACATACAGTAACGACGCCTTGTCCTCTGTCCATGGCCCATGCAGCAGTTTCTCAGGAATATTGAAACTGCGTGCAAACCCCAAATACGGGATCTTGGTAAACATGTACGGCCACAGCCCGTCAAAATACGATACATCGGGTATAGTAACGCCAGTGGCTGCCCACGCTTTCCCGCGCAACTTGACCATGGCCTCGTGCGCGCGCCGCACGTAGGCTAGGAAGAACTCATAGGTGAAGAAGCGGCAGGATAGAAGGTCTGATTGCAGTGCTGGGTCGCTGGTGACTTTCCGGTCCCTATAGATGGTGCGATGATCGACTGTGTGGCAGAAAGAGCGCATGGTGAATTCCATGGTGATTGCGCGTGAGGATAGTTTTTTGCCTAGGGAAGGAGAGCATTGGGGGAGAGCAATGTTCATACTGTCCAGGAATATCATTTCCAGCAATTCGACGGGAAGGCCTTCGAGCGTTGGCATGGCGGGCGTTGCGACTTTAGCTTTGCTTTTTGTTTTTTGTTTCCGGGGCCGTTTTGGTTGAGAAGTAGTCGTAGTAGTAGTGGGTGCGGAGGATGCCTGGATAAATGCTGCGGGTAAGTGTTTGCGTTTCTTGCCGCGTACAATGATGGGCGTGAGATCCATTGGTCTTTTTGTATGCGCCGCGTCACCAGTAGGCACCAGTATATCGGCCTGCATGTAATGGATGGATCGGGAAAGGTCCGCTGCGATCAAGACTATAGGTGGTGCGCCTCACCTGGTGCGTGCACTGCTGTGGCTTTGCCGCGGCGTTGTTCCTGGCTAGCGTGGATCGTGTTTCCGCTGTTCTTCCTGTCGCATAAACAAAAGACGTCCAACAGCATAGCCACGATACGCGCCCTCGCAGCGCTCCCGATCGGAAGAGAAGTAGACGATTTAGGGAAAAGAGTCGGAAAAAATGCAGGTCCACGCTGTACCAGATTCGGAACGCGCGTTTGATTCGACAGGGAGGAAGCTGCCCTGGGCGTATGAGTTTGCGGAGTAAGTCTTTCTTTCACAGTCTTTGTTCAGTGTGAATCATTTGATACTGGCGAGCGCGTCATCGAAGAGCCTTAGACATATCAGTCTACTTTTCCTCGCCATGTTCGCATTATGGAAGACCTGGAACGGGAAGATGCTGTAATAAAGCGCACGCGGCTGACACCAGACCTCAACAGCTCAGACCAAAATCAACGACGTCTCCCTGAAGAAAAAGGTCCCTTTGGAAAAGCACGGAAACGCGGAACTTCACGGGCAAAGACACCCTTGGGCGCCAACCAAGCGGCCGACGAAGCAAAACTACTCAACCAACGCGCAATCGATGACATATTTGGTCGGTACAAGGCAGAAGAGGACAAAAGGCGCTCAATATCATCGCGTCCCATTGCCGCGCTTCCCCCATCCGGCTCAGTACCCAACTTGATAGACGTAAGCAATGGACTTAACAATTCCTTTGCCGCCGGTCCATCGACAAACTCGGCCTTCATACAAGAACCAAAGGAAGTAATACTCTACGGTTACGGCAGCGATGCACAATGGGCAGCGATATCGCACTACGAAAAGGTCTCTAACGGCCTCATCTACGAAGAATACGACCGCGAGCCCTACAACCCAAAGTTCGGATACACGTTTACTTCGCAACGGGCGTCACATTACCGATCGCTAAACAAGGCATCGCTGAGAAAAATAAACGAATTTGTCGGCGGCGACCACTGGATCAAAGTCACGTTCGACAGTGCCGAAGCAGCAGAGCGTGCATGCCACTACAGCCCCAAGAACATCCAGGGCTACACTGTGTATGCCGAAATGTATAGAGGAACCGGCCCTCAAGGCGGCGACCGCCCCATCCGCGCAGAACCAGGAAACTTTTCGCAAGCCACCTCTCCAAACACCATCTCCTCAGGCACCATTGGCCCCCGCGGCATCAGCACATCGCAGTCCTCTGCCACCGCCTCGTCCGCCACAGCAACCGCCTCGCAGCCCGCAGCATTACTAGCACCAAACGGATACCGCGGTCCAAACGACATCCCGGCCTTCATGCGCAGCACAGCCGGCTCCTTCCCCTCGCACCTCGACGACATGCCCGTGGAACCCGAGCGAAAAGAAGAGCACCAAGTCCTCGATCCAAATACCATTCCCGCACGCAGTATAACTACTGCCCTGAATCCCCGCTCTCAACGCGCGACACTGCGTCTTAAAGGCGCAAATGTCAAGCCTGCCATCTTTCTGCCGCAGGAAAAGGCGTTTTTGCCGGCGAAACCACGCTGGCAGCAGACGGTGGGCTCGCTGCCGATGATTGGGTGGGTGTTTGGGTCTGGTCAGGGCATCATTGGAGATCAGGTGCCGAGGAAAGAGGATGGTAGCTTTGATGCAAATGGGGCGAGTTTGTACTGGCGAATGTGGTACGCGGTGGATAATTGCTTTGGAAGTGATTTTTGTGGAGTGAGGGATGCAGAGTATGACGACTAAATCGGGTGGAGGATAAGGACAAGGACGAGGAGGACGAAGGGGACAATTGGATAGGGCTTGGCGGACTGGTAAACATGAGCATTGGGTGGCGTTTTGGGCGCTTGCACAAGCGCATTTCTTTTCCTATATTTCAATGAGCGCCAGCCTGAGCAGATTGACGATGCAGCATCGAGGCATTCAAGTATGCCGCGGAAAGTGGTATGTAAAATGTAATATTATTTCAAGAGCTAACGCCAACGCCCGGAAGATTAAATCTAACACGCGTGTGACCATCATGCTTTCATGTCCGTATTCAGTCAACCCCCATGGCAAGGGCAAATATGCCACATGCCTCGTACACTCTTCTCCTCCATCCTCTGGCAACCTCATTCTTGTCGTATTAGTGTGCCTAGACATATTGGCTCAACCATCGGATGCCCTCGCCGTATCCCTGCCTCATGACGACACTGCACATGAAGACTTCAACAGGTCGGATACCCTCGAGAGGCACCTTGCCCTTGCCGGTTGTCTGATATAGACCGAGCACAGAGCGGAGCTGGTCCTCGGAGACGGCGTCGGGGTGATCAATCTTGTTACCAAGAATGACGAAAGGAGTGTTCTTAAGCTCTTCCATGGCGAGGAGAGCATCGAGCTCGGCTTTCGACTCGGTAAGACGCTCATGGTCCTTGGCATCGACGAGGAAGACGATGCCGGAGACTTCGGGGACTAAAGACGAGTCAATACGGCGTGCAAGGATTGTGAAATCTGGTAAGCGTACAGTAATCCCGCCACAATCGTCGGGCTTGCGCGTGGCCTCCAAGGTCAAAGGTTGTGAACTTGACGTTTCCTATCGAGAGCTCCTCGGAGGTGGGGTGCAAGGTTGGCTGGCTAGAGGAATATTAGCTAGCGGCGAGGGAAGGACCGTGATTCACGTACAGAACAGCAACCCTGTCGTTCTTGAGCATATGCAGCAGCCTAGATGCGTTAGTCGAATCGCGCGCGCCCGGTTCGATTGCCATACGTGGTCTTTCCAGCATTGTCACTGCATCATAGTTAGCTATGGGCGTCTGGATTCGAATGTGTGCGGAAATGCGTACAGTCCGAGGAAGAGGAGCTTGGCATGCTGTACATATGTTAGCCTCAGTCGGATGGTTGTGTCCACAGCGCTCATGCCTACCTTGTTCATAAGTCCAAGCGAGGACAGAACATCCCAAACTATCGTGCCATGTCAGCTTCTGTTGATTCGGGTCCTCGGCGAGCGAATTGCGTATGGAGAGGCGTATGTGTCGTATGCGGGGGGTAATCGATGCGCATGTGACAAGGCCGACGTAGCCATGTTGTGGACAACTTTGGAGGTTCTCAGGGGAAAAGGGCGAAGAAAACAGGCTCCTTGTATATTCCTGGCGCTGTATCTTCGCCGTTGATGCTGCATATGCAGGTATGGCTTTCGTCGGGCTTCATCCGTAACGGGAGAGACAAATGGTAAACTTACACCTGGCGCAAGGTCAGCAGGGGTAGATGAAGTGACAGCATAGCCACTCACCAATCAATAATCCACATGATTGTAATATAGACTTAGGCGGAGACTATGAGTAGAAAGTGCAGCAGGGTGGCGTCGGGTGTGGATGGGAGAAGTAAACTTGGGGAAGATGGCCACCATAGAGGGCGGAAGTGAGCGGTGGTCCGGGCGCCGGTTTCTTGGCAGCTCTGTTCCGAGCTCTCGCGAAGAACTTGGACTTGCACCCTCACGAAACAGAAACCACCGCATTCCCGTCTAAATCCATCACAATGGCCGTCGGAGTACGTCATATCCCCTCCCAGAACACCGTCGAAGCTGTTCCCAGCCCAATTGCTGCGCCGCCAGCGAAGCCCCGCCCGCAATGGCAGCCCCGAAGTGAATATCAAGAAAACTAACTTGTCCCCCTCCCACAGCGCAGCGCTGCCCTCAAGCTCGACTGGACCAAGCTCGCTACGCAGCTTGGTCTCAAGGGTCAAACCGCCGCCTCCCTCCAAGCCTTCAAGAAGCGCAACGACGATGCGCGCCGCAAGATTGCCGTCCTCTCGGAGCAGTCGCAGTCCGTTGACTTCGCCTATTACCGCAGTGTCCTCAAGAACCAGGCCGTCGTCGACGACATTGAGAAGCAGTTCAACGCATTCAAGCCCCAGACGTACGACGTAGGAAGGCAGATCAAGGCCATTGAGGCTTTCGAGGCCCAGGCCGTCCAGAGCGCAGAGCAGACCAAGTCCGTCGTCGACAAGGAGTTGAGCGATCTCCAAAAGACCCTCAAGAACATCGAGGAGGCCAGGCCATTCTCTGACCTTACTGTTGTATGTGGACTCAGCTATGGATGAGTGGGGTGGACTATGTGTGTGCTGACGAATATCGCAGGACGAGGTTGCCGCTGCCCAGCCCGAGATTGACAAGCGCACCGAGCAGCTCGTCTCCAAGGGTCGCTGGGCCGTTCCTGGCTACAAGGCACGTTTTTGGAGCAATTACCCTCGTCGATACATGAATACTAACAATCCTGCAGGAGAAGTTTGGCGATCTGTCCGTCCTCTAAATATCTTCTTTCCATGTAGTCCAAGTGTACCCGATCTGGGTTGTATTACCTACGTATTTGTGAATAGTTCCAGAGAGTGGAAATGCAATCTAGATTCTGATCACATGTATTGGGACTTATACACGTGCATTGCCCCTGTACTGTGCTAATGACACAAAAGATAAGATGGAACTATTTCCAACTTATTCACCTTTCACTAACCAATCCATTCCTCAAGCTCTATCTGCATTGACTGAGATTAGCACTTAGGTCCGTGTCAAAAAATATCAAGAAACAGTCTGCTCCCAAGCAGTAACTTTGACTGCGCCGTTGTAAGCAGGAATTTAAGCTAAACACATGAAAAATCGATTAGAGTCATGTATCACACGTATACGCAGTTGAGTAAAAGAAGGCTTGTGCCAAACGCAAACATGAGTATTTCAGAGTCTGAAACACTACGCTCACGTCCGGAGATATAAACCTGGGGGTATTCGAATGCTCGCCGCTTGGCAGGAAAGATGAGAAAATATATTCATTTATCTTATATCGAATCAAGCACATTGATACATACATCCACCATCCAAACAGCGCTTTTTATTCTGGGCTACTCGAAGCTTTATTTCGTTGGTATTGGGGTTCGAGACAAATGTCTATATGTAACTAGTCTTCATATTCAATATCCAACAGACCACTGGCTTACTATCACTGCACTGTAACTCTCTCATTACAATCCCGTATATCTGGCGTTTGTAATTCGCTTACCTCCACCCCCCATGTCACGAAAGAAAGGAGATGAGGGATAGCGTTTTTGATTCAACGCCTTAGCTACGCTTGTACAGCAACCAGATAGGCTGGGGGGCTGGAGATGGAGTGTGAGTTGGCATTCGGTTTGTAGGCTAGCGATGGAAGGGGAGAGGGGGGAATGCTGACAGTGGGATTTTTGAAAGTTCTATCGTAAATTTTTGAGTCTGGATAGGAGTAGAAACAGAGCAAGGATCAAATATATCAGATGGACAGAAGGATATCAAAGTTGAACTAATTCTTTTTTTATTTGGAAAAAAAATCTTTTACTCATTTCCATTTCACTTCATTACTATCTACACTCTTTTTCTCTCTTGCCAATTAAATCTCCCTTCTCATAATCATTTACCTCCACGATCATAAACACATAATCTCATAAAGGAGTGTCGTTACATAACCAAATAAAAAAACCCTCCCCTGAAACCATGCATCTTTCTTCCCCTTTACGCTTCATAAAGCCATTAACCACCCCACATATCTTCGTTATCCTCATCTCGTATTCTCATGTTCCCTTTACAGGGCCAAAAACATGGCAAAAACACCACCAAAAAGCGCACCCAGGCCAGCGACCGACGACGTAGCCGCAGCACCGGTGAAATCGGGGAGAGGAGGGATAGTGTGTGTGGCGCTGTGGTTGCTGGGGGGAGCAGTGATTTGGGGCTGGCCGTCGGAGATCTGGGTCACGGCGGGAGGAGTGGTCTCTGGTTCGGGCTCTGGCTCTGGGGTGACGATGGGGGCCGGAGGCTCAGGAGCTGGGGAAGAAGCTTGAGGTTGACCGTCAGAGATTTGGGTGACGGGGGGTGGTGGTGGGGGAGCGGAGCCTGGAGCGGAAGCCTGAGGTTGGCCATCGGAGATCTGAGTGACTGGGGGTAGTGGTGGAGGAGCAGAGCCTGGGGCGGAAGCTTGGGGTTGGCCGTCGGAGATTTGGGTTACTGCTGGCTCAGAGGCTTGGGGCTGGCCGTCGGAGATTTGGGTAACTTCGGGGTCTTTGGTGTTGCTGTCGCTGTCGCTGTCGCTGACCATGACGGCCATGATGTTGATGGGGAGGCACTGTTCACCGATGGATTGGCTGTAGAGGTTGTAGAAGTCGCCGGACAGGCACTGGTAGAAGAGCGTGGAGCCCTTGAGCGACAGGGAGTTGTTGCTACAGAGGCCAAAACCGTCGACGTCGAGGGCGTCGGCTTGGACTGGGCCGTCGAACTGGAATCTGTGGATGTTTTTAGTTGATGTCAAGGAGTAGTGAGTAGGGTATCCATGTAGACGTACTGGTAGTTGGAAGCAATGTATCCATCACGACCAGACTGGTCCTTCAATACACCATCCTTGAGAGTCATCTTGAGGGTACCATCAAACTGGCGGCGGGCAAGGGCACGCTTCTTCTCCGCCTCGGGAGCCTTGACGGTGGTAATGGTGAATGTTCCATCAACCGAGGCCGCACACTCGGAACCAGAAGAGGCCTGGGGAAGGGCAGTGGCCGCAGCCACAAGGCCAGCAATGATAAAAGACTTCATTTTCAAAAAGAAATAAGTCAAGATACTACTGCTAGTATCAACACTGCGATTGATAGCGAGAGTGAAGTAACGATAGGAGGGTAGACTGATTGAACGAGGTATCAGTTACTGTGAGAACGAAGGTATGAGATGATTTGAAAGACAAAGGGATACAGCAAGACAAAGCAGTTATATAGATGTTCTGGTCAAATCCAGATGCACCTCATCGACCATGTCTGATCCGGTATGACATGATCAACTGTCTCCGCATTAGACCAGCGGCCATTGCTCGATTCTACGCGTCTGCTAGTGTCGACGCTTCCGATGCAGGAAAAAGATGGCTGAAGAGAGGGCTTGCATTCACCCGGCCCCTCAGTCAATCCTTGACAGCCTTACTAGATGCCGTCAACAGCCGTTTGTCAAGCTTGAGCTACAAAAGGGCTGAGTGCACTCCGCGGTTGACAATTGCTTGGGTCAGATGGTGAACCGAACTTTCTTGCAGATGATTCTACCACTCGCATCTTTGCTCGGGGCAGTTATGCGTGCAATCCGGCGTCCTTGCAGTCGCATCTGGTATGACGTTGTTATTTCTCCAACCCCCACTAAGGTTGTTTCGTCGCCATGCCAGCCAACTTGCAGGGGAGGCAGTGTGAAAATGCAGACGTATTAGCTCGCTCAGTTCAACTATTGGAAGGAAAAGATTCACAATGATCCGGGCTATTCAGATTGGTCTCGAGGGCCTCGGATACCCAGGCGAGGTGAAAGATTTGTGCCCAATCGAGTATGACGCTTACGCTGACTAGCGCAACGCTTGTGCAGTGGATGTGGCTGGCGTTGATCATACGGGACTGGTCTCCAGCCTCTCACTCGTCGTGCCGTTACTTGGGAACGCTTGAGACGGGCTGGGGAAGTGGGGGACGCTGCTGTGTAGTATATTGGCTTGCATATCGATGGGCCGCTGCTTGCAGAAGGCGACGAACAAGCCTACTACTTGGATGTCTTAACCCTAGAACGTCCCCTTGAAGTGTTGAGTTGGTATTAGTCAAATTTTTGAATGATGATACCACAAAAAAACCACATATTACTATGTATTTTTTCAAATACTTACACAAGGAGTGGCTGGCTACGCAAACATTACCGTTGCTGACAATGACTGGTGGACGCGCACGCCAGATGGTAAACTTGACGTCATACAGTGTTTCCTTCTTACATACTAGTAGGAGAGAGCTTTATCCCCTCAACACACGCAGCACTAAGCGACTACACCCACTTAGACAATCCAACGTTGGTATCCGGTCCCACTGCAATCTTTGCGGCAATCAGTGTCACTGAGGTTTTGGATAGATAACAGCAGCAGACGAGTGTCTGACCATTTGCCCCTCCTCCCTTCTACAAACATGCAAACGTACATGGCACGCTCCAACAACTGTGAAAATGTTCAACTAAAATAGCAATCCCTTATTGTGAAGGTTTTCAGCCTCGGCTGAAAGCTCTTGATGGACCCTGGGTTGGGCCATGGAGTGCTCTAGTGACGCGCCAGCTAATGCTTCACTTGGTAGTCACTGCAGGGCCTCGTATTCTACTACTAGCTTTCCGCACCCCGCCAGGCGGTAAAAAATGTCGTTCAGTGCCGTTCGGTTATTTCTCTCATGAGTAGTGAGAAGTACTCAGGGTCATGCCGATACCATGTAATCGTCTGTTGATCACAGTAGATGCGCGAAGTCATTTTCACATTATAGAGACCACCTGAATCGCATTACCGCAACGTCTCAAGTAAGCTTTGCAGAGGCTTCAAACGGCAGCATAGCAAGCCATGGTGCATAGAAACAGTCCCGAGGAGACTTTTGCGTTGAGTGTACTGAGTATTCATGGAACTGACTGCGGTTAGTATATTGGCACGTTAGCATCTCACGCCGGTGTCACACCAACACCTCTAGGTTAAACGCGCGATGACTGCGCCGTACCAATAGACACACTATGAGCTGTTTGGGGTATCGAACATTAGTCTCAATTTATGCCAACCAAAAAAAGAGAATCAATCTGGTGTCATGGTCCACTTGCTGGGTCCATTTTCCAGCCTTCGCTTCCCCCGCATTGTTCAAGCCCGCTCAATCTATTTTCCTTCGCCAGCACGTTTCACACCTCCTGCGACATCGTTTGCGCCCTTTTCAATGCTCGTAGCTACATCTGCGAGGCCCCTGGCGACGGGCCGGCCAGCACTGCCTGTGGCGCCCTCAACCTGCGTTGGAAGATTCAAAATCAGTATTGTGGCGTATATGCATGCAGTTGTGAATATACTACTTACCGTCTCACCAACGCCTCTCCCTAGGGCACCAACTACGCCACCCAAAGTGTTTGTGACACCCCCAACAGTGTTTCCAACGGTAGAGGTTACAAACTTCACACCAGAGGTAACACCACTTTCATTTTGTCCGATGGGCATATTGTTTATCTGGATCGCGTTTTGACTGGGTAGTAATTTGCGTTTTCGGTTTCTAGGCTTGGGATGCTTTGTGGTAACAATAGAGTTTTGGCTGTTGCAGACTTAGTAGACAGGAGTGTCGGTGGAGTCTATGCCGTCTACTGGATCTAGTGCATTTATGTGGTGGTAGATGGGTGACGTCATGAGGCTTTGCAACACCAGACGCAGCGTGTTTTCAAGAAATCTCGCACTTTACAACCCCCAGGCTTAGTCCTTGCAACGCTCATAAAGGCCTTGTTTTTTGTTTGCCACGGACGATGTTACGTGGCCATCCTGGCACACGTCGTCTGTTGCTGCTTGGCTTATACACAGTTGTTGGACAGATCTTATGTGTAACCCTTTGTAGATGTCATATGTATGAATGTATGGTCATTACCGAGTATCGAAAATCTATAGGATCCCCTGGGGGTTACCCTTGGTATTGCTTGTAGTGTTGAAGATCATGGCGATCACTCGATCCTTCGTGTTGTCGTCGTTGGAACCCGTTGCCCACAGGCCTGGCCAGCACCTCTTACCGCACTAGGCAAGTGTGTAGGGATTTGTTCTTCAACGGCGACAAATGTGGAATCATGTTGCAGATGAAAGTGCAAGAGCATACACCGCGCCCATCCACATGGGCATGCGGCCGATAAGGGATCCGGACCGGGAATCTGATCAAATCTCGCCCGGGGCGCCTGAAGAACGCGCAGCCCACGGGATGCGAGTACATGAAATCCCATCGCGCGCCATTGGTCGATATCATCTGGAAGGATGATAGCCCAATAACGTCGGGCGAAATATCTTTGCGAGTTGCAAAAGCACATCGGACGTACGGCCGAAGACTTCCGCTGGCGGGGTTTGTTATCACTGACTTCAAGTTCAGATTGCGCTGTAAAACCGTGAAGCTCACTGCAGAATTTTATAGCAAAAGGTCGACTGTCCCACTTCTTATGTTAATGCACCAATCGCAGTATCAAAATATTCCTTTGCAATTACTCAGATTTTATGAGTATACCTCATTGAAGAACTGGGAACATCCGGTCTGAAGTTGGAAAACAAAAAGCTCAACCATACGCAAAGCTACGCCAGCAGGCCTCAACCCAAGGAATCAGTAATAGACACGGATAAACCAACATGACTTCTCTCTTCCCACATCCGATCTATGCCGAGGATCAACCGTATGCGCGCAGTATCTTGTACCTTCACGTTATACGGGCTTCGGTCATGTCCTTTTCCTTTTTCTCGCTTGCGCGCTTCCCAGCTTCTGTCATTGCAGCGCGCTACAAAAAGACGGCAATTGATTACAACGTCATACTCACGCGTACACTGAAGACAGCAGGTCGTGGACTTGTGTTGGGAACAGCAGCGGGTGTGGTTATGACGTGGGGCCGCATGAGAGAACTCGAGGAGATTGAATGGAAAGATAGATCGTGGAGGATCTTGGAAAACAATGGCGAAGTACAGACGGACTGGGTCACGCTGGGTTCCGCGAGCGGAGGTGCAGTTGCTGCTTTGATTGCTGCACGGAGAGGAAGAATAAAGATGCCCGCTGGTGGGGCGATGCTTGGTGGAGCAGGCGCTGGTATGGCAGCTGGAGTGCCGTACATGTTTGCATCGTATGCGGCAGGAAGAAAGCCAGCTTGAATGCGATGACAAAGAGGGAAAGTAGAGATAGAGAGAACTTGGAAGGGAGAAGCTGGAGTCAAAAGGAATCCTAAGTGGCATTTGTAATATGATAATATGCAGGGCGATCTGATGAATTCGTGGTGTCGAGTGTGCATCGTTTCCATATGGACTTGTTGCTTTCTATGTCAAGATGATTCCACGTCTTTAAACGATAAGCAGCACATGTTGACATAGATTTTCATCCCCTATATTTGATCAGAACTTGGTGTACAGTTCAATCGGATGTACAAGGCTCTTCCTCTGTAGCATAGTCAATAGTCAACCGTATTCATGTCTTGAGGCTCAAGACGAGCCCTGCATAGGCATACTCAACTCGAGAACGTGCCTTACTTCCAATAATAGATTCAAAGTCAACACATTGGTGAGACGACCAAGAATATTGGGCCAAGCAAAGACAAAACATGTGGTATGCATAGTCAGTAGAGAAGAGCGTGGGCCACTACTTGGATGATGCCAATATGTGGCTAACAGGTCCAGGCTTTCGGAGACGATTCTGCTAGGTTGATAGTTTGGATATTATCAGCACCATCCCTGGCCTGTAGGTGAGCATTGTCCATTTCTTGTATTCCTGGGCGCATATGAGTCTGATTCAATGACAGCGGTTTCAGAAACATAGTTTCAAGGCGAGTACGACAACTGCAAGGATGGCTGCGTAGAGGCCATTGGGCAGTCGAAGCAAGTGCCGGGTAGAGTGTGATGTATGCACGCATACCGGGAAAGCTCGACATGAAGTCTTGCATGCAGTATTTGTGTGTTACTACCTAGTCGCAGGGATTGGTGTGCTCCTACGCATGCGTGTTGTTGCATTCGTTTGGTTTGGCTGGACTGGAACATTGTCGTGATGGGCCTTGGTCCTGGACATATACCAGAGGGTGCTATAGCATGTAACCCCTCGTTGTGAAGTTGAAATTATCCATCCGACCAGGCCAACCCAACGCAGACTCCGATGCCTATTGCTGAGGATAAAAGCCCCTTGGCAATTTTGTTGCTTGGGCTGGTGTTGGTCTGAAGGCGATATTGGCTGTTCGGCCAATCGGACATATTTTTCAGTAGTCGCTCGGTCGGGAGTGACGCGGCACAGACGGACACAGACATGGCAGAGGGCTAGACGCGTGGATGGACGTGCACAGGGTCCATGAGTGCCTTGGAGGAAGGGCACGCGCCACTTTGTCGTGGGGCTTACGGGCATCTGGCAGTCTTCATGGTTCGTGTTTGTAGGCGGCGGTGTGAACGCTTGCCGGCGGACGGAGCAATACGTTTAGAGTAGCGGGGCGAGTGTAACCGACAATGGGGCCCCCGAGCGAGGGCGGAACGTGAGACGTCTGACCAGAGGATTAGGCGTTGATTCGGCAATGGCAGCCGTGTAGTGTGGTGTGGTCTGGCATGTGGCAATGGCAGCGTAGCATACTCTAGGTATTGTCCGGCTTCGTCATTGGAGGGCATGGCAATTTAGAGTAGCCGTGGCAGTACCAGCAAGAGTGAATTGAGTGCATGGGAATCGAGTCCGCGATTGCCGAATTGCGGGGAGGCGATATATCATCGGTGGGAAGTGTGGGGAACAAGAATGCTAATACTAGAGTAATCCCAATACCACGAGGCAGCCGACCAGGGGCAGGATGATTAAGAAGGTGGCGATGCAACAAATGGCAGCCCGTCGCGTGTGCGTGTGCATGTGCATGGCATGGGATGAGAGACAACGTGGTGCACGCAGTGGCAACGGCTTGCTGGGCCTCTCAAATGCCATTGCCCCGGGTCCCGTTTCAGTATCCAAGCTCCGCCGATCCCTGCCAGGTGCACAGCAGGATAGTTCGTCTTCTCGGCCTGGGATATCGAAAGCAGCTTAATTTCTCCTTGCGGCCAGACTAAAACAGGACCCCTCTTTGTCGCTGCTACTTACATCCTTCAAATACATACACACGCCCGGCCACCAACGCGGCGCATTCTCGAGCCCAAGAACCATGCCACTGACCTGTTAGTTTCAACATCATCATCATCATCATCATCATCATCATCATCACCTCGACCACTCATCTACATCTACCTCTTCCATATATCCACAACCATACGCCCACAAACATGGCGCGACATGTCCGAAACACTCTCATCTCCCTCCACCTCTTTGCCCTTCTTTCTCATGCCGCCAATCTCAACTACTCGGGCGAAGCCGTGACTACGCGGTACTGGGACTGCTGTAAACCATCGTGCGGGTGGAATGGCAAGGCCGATTTCAGCAGCCCGGTAGAGTCGTGCACAGCAGACAACAAGCCCACCAACCCTGCCGCTGGCACTGGCTGTAACGGTGGTGATGCCTTCCAGTGTGCCGACCAGCAGCCATGGGCTATCAACGACACAATGTCCTATGGCTTTGCCGGTGTCTACATCATGCCCGCCCTCACGCGCGGCGGCATCGAGGACGCTTGGTGTTGCGCATGCTACCAGCTAGATTTCACCAGTGACCCACTGATTGGAAAGAGCATGATTATCCAGGCCTCAAACACGGCGTACGACATTACAACAACAAACCGCTTCACCCTTGCAGTAAGTCACCTTTTTGGAACCCTGCTCGATAGTGCAGTGCAGTGCAGAGCTGAGTCTTTCCCAGGTACCTGGTGGCAACACAACATCGGTCGACGGATGCGCCAAGCAGTATGGCGTCGACCAGTCCGTCTTTGGCCAGAGGATGGAGGGCGTCAGTTCAAGCAACGACTGTGCAAACCTACCCGAGCCGCTGAGAGCGGGATGCCAGTGGCGCTTTGATTGGCTCCAGGATGCGTCGTTTCCTAGGTATTTGACTTCACTTCCGGCTACACCATGCATCCAGTACTAACATTGCACAGTGCCAATTTCAAGCGTGTCGTGTGCCCAGCCGAGATTACGGCCAAGAGCAACTGTGTGCGCAACGACGACAAAAGGCTTGCTTCGGGCGAGTCGACTTCCGCAGCCTACAGTCTCAGCCCTAGCCTGCCTCATACTATGGCTTTCGTTGCCGCCACGATGCTAACCCTAATATCGGTATAGCATCGGTGATGTTCCCTGCGCGTCACGTTCCTGCGGCCCGCTCACGATCCGTCACTCTTCATTTCGCTTGCCCTCTTTGCACTCTCGAAGCCGAGACTGATGGCATCGTCAGATGACAAAGAAAGGCAAGCCCATTTCATGCATGGATACCCTACTTGATAAAATACCCGCATTAACACGCCTGCCCTCCGTGTCCAGACCGCACTCGCTCAGGACTCGGAGTCGCCGGTGATGTGCTGGTGCATAAGTGGCTTTCCCCGGTTTTTTTTCCTCAGTCTAGTATCATCTGGCCACCAATGGAAAGGGTGTGTGTAAAAAAGATGACATGTACGCTATTACGATTGATCTGCATATTGGTGTTTGGAAAGCTTTTTCATTTAGTGGGTGCCGGTTTATGGACCACATTCAGCCTTTGGAGCGTTCTGTACTCTCGTGAGAATGATGATCACTTTGTTCTTGACCACTCAAACCACTCCATGTTCAGTCATGCCTCTGAGTGTAAGCATGAATATATGCCTTGTATGCAGATCCTGGAGTCATATCGGACGAGAACTAGTGGGGCAGCATCTGTGGTAAACGGTGAAGTGGCTTGCTGGGACGCCAGCTGGTTGGTCCGGTGGATACAACGATCCAGGCATTCCAATACACCCTGAGCAGCTGGCCGTCAGCCAATACTCCATGCCGGATCAACAGGATGCAAATCACTTTATTGCGATTTAGCCTCGTTACCGTCGCTGAACTCTAATGACTACTGAAGCCGCAACCATTTCCGCAAAAGAAGATGTTCCCCGGATTTTAGGTAAGTACAAAAGTAAGCAAAACCCATTAGTACACACGGCAAAAGCACTCAGGCGAGCGCTAAGGGACATAGCGCGGTGATTGTTGTAGCTCTACACCACAAAATTGACTTCATTTAGGCAAATTGACAAGTAAGCGCAGAGGATTTAGACTTGGCGGGCTGCGCCTTTGCCGTTAGCCTCGCAAAAAAAGAAAAGACTGCCTTTTTGCTCGCCCGATACGAATGCGCGGGGCCTTGAATGGGTGGGTTGTTAAATTATCCATATGAGCCGTGGAGCAGGGGTAGTGCAGCCTCGAATATATTAATCGTCGCCCAACGTGGCAACGGAGAAACAATGTGGAGAAGAACGAGAGGCACACGCGCACATGGCTGATGATGTGCGAGTATTTTTCTTTTTGCCACTGGACGTGTGGGAGCGCATTATCCCGCGCAATTATGCAGGTGCGCAGCGTACTTGTGTGCATGTGTGCGTGTGGCGGGTGTTGGGACAGTAGGATGTCGACTGGAACAAGGGCGCAAAGGGAAGGGGGAAATTGGACCTTCGCTATGCACACGAACTGCCTACTTTGTCGCTTCTCCCGACCCACGCGACGACACCTCTTGTGCTCAGCTCATCATCACACTACGTCTGGACACACTTGTGTGACTTGTACTAGGCGCCGCGTATACGTACACACCCGTGTTAGATTGGTCTTCGTATTTGCTAACTGACTGCCTTGCCGGGGCACTTTTGTTACATTTGTGATACTTACTCGTCGCAACCGGATGGCCGCTGCCGGCATACTAGTAGGTACGTACCAGCGAGGATACTCCGACCGACACCGACAACACCAACGGCGACGACGACGGCGACGATGCAAGGACTTCACATCGACGCATGTCCGGACAAGGTTGGCAGACCGTTCCGCCTGCGCCTGCTGGCCCAACAGTCTAGGTTGACGTCTGACAGCCATCAACGAAACAAGAAAGAGCGAATAGGCGCCGCAACTTTGTTACATAAATCCACCGAAACCTGGCCTCACCTACTACCGAAACCGAACCACCAAGGAACAACACCATCGGCAATGTTGAGAAATCCTGAAACTGTGCCAAAGCCCCAATGCCTAGCTCGCGACACGGTACCTGGTGCGAGTATCCTGTATAGTTCTCCACGTCCCAATATAGAACACGAGCTCTGGTCGGCCCTTTGACGCCCGAGTATACCTTGCATTGTACTTACTACGTACACATCCCACTGCGACACGCTTGCCTACTCAATTCTCTTTTCTCTCAAACCGCCATGTCTACTAGTGGGAAAGTAGCCTAGGACTTGTTCTCTTCTTGGACACAGCAAGTAGAAACAGTCTGGTCTGAGCACGTCAGCAGGCAACATGCTAGTAATCGCAGTCTACACTGCGCTCTTGGTATTTTTTAGGCCGACCCTAGCATCAAAACAGTAACAACTGTAAGTCCAAGACAGGCAGTGCAAGTCTCACACTTGTATTAGTGCAACGGTCGGACCCAGAAAAAAAGATAAAAGAAAGAAAAGTAAGACCGAACCGATACGAACATCTGAAGCACGAGCAGCCTGATCGTCCAATATCCCATTTCCACAAACGCGCAACGTCGATGAGTCCTCAACGTCCCCACTTCCACATGTGTACCCACCACCCGATCCATAAGCTCCAAGTTCCAGAACCTCCAAGACTCCAAGTATTTTTCATCTCCGAATCTAATCGCACGATCTAATCTCCGACTCCAACTTTGTCATGACCACAACCACCAACCAACACATGTGTCGCAGGAGAAGAGTATGTAAGTAAAGAGGCGAGTAAGAAAGCTTGTCGTCTCGTCCCATCCGCCCATTCTATACGCCGGCCTTTCAATACAAGGAAATCTACGTTTCCCTCGTTTACGAAATATAAAATTACCATAATGGGACCCCTAGTAACGCGTAGGATCTACTTTGTAATCTTAACCTTTTCTTCTTAACAGCAAGCACATATACCCCCCCTTCTACGTCATCCCCTCATTTTAAACAAAAAGTCGCGCACACGTACTGCTCGGACAGAGGGTGTAAAAAGACACTTTGATCAAGTTTGCACAAAGTTTATGAGAAAAAGGAAATTCAAGATAATATCAGATTCTTACAAGTGAAACTCTGGTTTCTCCACTGCAAGCACGATGTATCCACCAAGAAGACTACCAAGTATCGTAAAGTCCAGAGTGTATCCATCATAGTGACATCACACCTAACCATCCCTTCCTCATCCACCAACTTACTCAACCTCCAACCAATCCCCCCTTCTCTCCCCTTCACAAGCAAGTAAGTAGAAATATACGCGCGCAACCATTCCGCTCCGACTCTCGCAAACCATCCCATATTCTCCCATAGGTACCCACCTTCGTTCCCACCTCCTCCCGCGGACCACCCAACGACCACCCCCTTGTAAACTCACCGGCTCGGTATCCTTCCCCCCCCCCTCATACCCTCTTGGCTCGTATCCCGTATCCGTCACTCATATACTGACATCAAAGGGGGGGGCAGCGGCGGCAAGGACAGGGAAAGCTCTGTGCAAGCAAAAGAAAAAGAAAAAGATGTGAAAACACGGGGCGGGCGGGAAGGAAGGAACCCGGTGTGACGGGATGTGGGACGGGCGTGTTTCAGGGGGATTACGTGGATATGTGGGGATGCCTTTGGTGGTGGTGAGTGGGATCGCGGGTTTCGGGGGATCGAAGAGGGGGAGGGGGTTGTCCGATGGGCGAGATGGGTTTGTTGTAGGACGAAGAAGATATGATTGAAGGAGGAGGAGGAGGAGGAGGAAGAAGAAGAAGAAGAAGAAGAAGAAGAAGAAGAAGAAGAAGAAGGAGAAAAGTGGGTAGATGTCGATGTTGAATTGTTTTATTTTTCTCAAAATGTAGATATTGATATATACTATGCTTGCTAGAACGATGAACAAAGAAGTGAAAGGATGAAAAAGAGGTTAGGCTATGCACTGCATAATACTTCTTCTTCTTCTTCTTCTTCTTTTTTCTCTGCCCCGGTGTTCAACACTCGATGTCGTGATTGTGTGGTATAACAACCCCCCCAACTCTCCCTTAGCTAGGCATGTGCGCACCTCCGCCCCAGCTCGCGAAAAAAAAAGCGACCGTAGACTAAAAAGTTCAAAGTCCCAAAAACCCTTTTGTGCATGAAAATAGTCACATGGTATCATTGCAAACTCCACATACTTTCCCTTATCTCCCTCAAAATGTAAACAAAAGAAAACAGAAAAAAAAAACAGAACGAGGCATATCATAATCTCATAACCTTCGCGTCTCCTCCCCCCAACTCCTCGTCCTCGGGTGATGCGGATAAATCCCCTCATCATCATCATACTCATCATACTCACCCGCATCCCCTATCCCGCGCAGCCTAACCGGTGAAAGCGGCGTAATGGGGCTATGCAGAAGGGTAGCAGCAGAGTACCGCCTCCCAGGTACTACAGTCGTAGGGCTGACAGGCGGCGAGTCGAGTTCCAAGCTCTTGCAGCCCATGCTGCCTCTGCCGTACTTGCTGTCGACGAGGGTGGGCGCGGATTCGAGGCTGCTGCCGACGCTGCGGACGGACTCGAGGACGTTGGCGTCGCCCTTTTCGCAGTGCGAAGACGCGGCGTAGCGGTCTTGGCTGTTGCGGCGGGAGGGGCGGGAAAAGTAGGTGCGTTTTGGGGGGTTGTTTGTGACGATTTTGCTAGGGAGACGAGGTTTCTTGCATTCGGTGATGTGGGCGCTTGCGCCGGCTTTGTTGGTGGTGGCATCGCCAGAGGTTGAGGTGCGTGTGGCGAGGCTGCTGGAGAAGTCGTCTTGGATGCAAGGGAGGATCTTGTTGAACATGCGCACTTTGACGCTCTTCTTCGAGTTGCGCCGTGTGTAGCGGCTGTCGCCGGCAGAGGAGCTGGATAGGTCCCATTGCTGCCAGTTGTTGTCGGTGCGGGCCTCGGGGTCCATGGGTGTGGCTTTGGTGCGGAAGTTGAAGATCCATCGTGTGACGAGACCACGTAGGATGGGGATGTTGGCGACGATGATGGCAACATTGTTTTCAATGTGGTTGATACAGTAGTCGATTGGGTAGGTCCAGTCAGGCTTGAAGAGCGTGTACAGGCGGTCGCGGTATGAGAGGTAGATCTTCGCGGCGCCAATAGCAGTGACCCTATACACAGGGTTAGTTGGTTCGTCTTGGCCATGACAAAGACTCGACTTACGCAAGACTGCAGGTAAAAACTGCTAGCACAACAAGACGGGAGCGTAGACGGGCACTCATCATCCTTCGGACAATGATAAACGGAATGGGGAGGATCAGAACGTCAGTGAGGAGGTTGGCGCAAGTAACCCAGATCAACATCTCGCCCATCTTGTGGCGGCCCATGCAGTGCAGACCACCAAAGGTTCGCGGCTTCCATGTGTTGCCGGTAAGGGGTGGGCAGATGAAGATGTAGAGGCACCATGGAATCAAAGCGCTTCCGACAGTGAAGATAAGAATGGCGTAGAGTGCTCGCCTCAGCCATTGGATGACGGAACCAGCGCGAAGAAGGAGAAGGATGATTGATGCTTTGACCAGTGGCAAGATGGGAATGTTCAGTAGGTTAAAGGCCATGACAACCTAGACGCTGTCAGTATACAATCACATCGCATCGGCGCCATACATACAGCGTAGTACTGGTCATAGTTTGGTTCAATCTCATCTGGGGGAACTTGCCAGATATGGACACCAACATGCCACATTTTGACATCTGTGTTTGGTTAGCAAGCCGTAAATGGAATTGAATGTAGCTATACGTACGTCTGTATGAAGGTCCTATGAGGGCTATTGACAATAGCAGAGGAAGTATGATAAGCCAGTCATCTATGCAACACCCAGTCAGTCCTTGTGTCGCATGTCAAAAGGGCAAGGCAAAGCAGCTTACCCCAACTCAGGCGCAGATTCAGCTTCCGGCGCGTGTATATTCTCAGAATAACAAAAATCGAGGCCAGAAGCGGAGTGCCAATGATGACGCCCAAGCAGGTGAGCTGGAGGGGATAAGAAGGCATGGTTATTGACGAAGCCTGCCGGCAGAAAACCTGGAGAAATCGCAAAACGGCATCTCGCAGTTGCTTCGAGGGGTGAGCATTCGCATATAAACGCCTGCAGCAGCACAAGGCAAGGTCAAGTGCAGGCGAGAGCGGCAATCCTTGCTCACCCTTGGTCCTTTGGGCGGCGCCTCGACAGGCACAACATCCCCGCAATTCCGTTGCTCGCTGCATATTAACACGCACGGAACGAATCAAGTATGCCCGAAGCGTCTCCAGGTGCGCTGCGGTCTAGTCTCGCGGGCGTCGCACTCACGTGGGTCGCACTCTATGAGGACGGTGGGCTCTGGCCGTGGCAACCATGCCGCATGCGTTTGGTGCGACAGGACATGATCTGGCGCCCTTTCGCCGCACATCTCCCTTCATTCCGTCTCTAACACCCGATCACCATCGCAGCCGAAAGGCCGACTCTTGACGGCGGCGGCGGCGGCGGCGGGCTGGGAACAGGGCGCCTCGAGCATTCGGCCGTGTGGGTTGCACAAGACAAGCAAAGAAAAAAAGGCTGCGTGTCCAGCTGGTTTCCCAGGGCTCACCGGGAAGGGTCGAGGCGAGCAAGACAGGACCAGCAGCGCTAGGACGGAGGGCGTTGGTGTATCAGCCTTTTCCTGGATCCTGGACCGCCCAAAAGGGTGTTGAGTAACCGATCCTTGCTGCAGAGCGAATCTGGGGGGGCCCGCCTGTTAATGTCGACAGCACCAATCATGCGTTGCACGTAAAGTAAATACGGCGCTACTGATAATATATACGTATGGAGGTATACACTTAGCATGGCATCCATCAAGCTCCAAGCGGGTCCTGAGGGCAAAACGGTCGCGATGCTGCCGGCGTCTGGGGCAGGGTAGGCTATCTGAGTAGGTACATGTGTCGATGGAAGGATGGCACCCGTCTGCAACGCCTACTACTACCCGTCCGTTCCAGGAGCTCAGGCCATGGTTCAGCACGCGTCAGGCTCCGTCCCGACAGTGTTTCGTCCAAGCGACAGTGGGCACGACTGACTACAACAGAGGGCCGTTTCGTGTCGTCGCACTGGCCGTCTTGTACAGGCTCCACTCGCACCTTGACATCTGCCCATCTTGGTGTACAAGACTACTTTAGGACACTTGTGCCTTCATCTACTGTCATTGCCACTACCGCCCGCCAGGCGAACCACAGCACTGCAAACTGCCGGTGACCCGTGCGCTCTTATATTAAATCGCCCGCGACGCCGGAAACGCTGCCCTGGTGAGGTCATCTGCTGGCGGGGTTGCTCTTCTACCTCGCATTATGCTGGGCCTTAACACGCCCCAGCTATCCAATGTGTTGTTTTGCCGCCCCCAGGTCTCGCTTCGTGCTACTATGCATTGTGTTTCCATAACCAAAAAGCACATGACTCTGTTGCCCATCTCGGTCCCAATTCTTCCTCACTACTCATACATTGTTAAAGTGCAAAATGCCCGGCTTATTTCCCGGAGCCTATCGAATCATGGATGCGCACAACGCCAGCCATCATGTCCTCGACGCATGACATTACCCGAGTGATTGCGCCTGTCACTCGATTGCCTCTTCTTTTTTCCCACCTCTTCCATTTCTGCTTTCTCATGTGCCCCCGCCACCTGCTTTCTTCTAGAACACTACCCCAGGCCTAGTCGCTTTTCAGCATGCTATCCACCAAGTCTCCGAGCGGACCCCAAAAGTCTTTACTTCCATTGGCCAGCCCATGCTCGTCAATGAACAGCACATAGTGCTTGAAGCTGGTGTTGAGGTGTGGTTCTAGCCCTAGCTCAATGATGACAGGATAGTGGTGGCAGTAAATGTGTGCGTAGACTCGGTACAGCCGCTTGAACATGTTGCGGATAAGAGATGGGAACGCCTTGGGAAACGGCACTCCAATCCGTGATGGGAACATGGCTTCGTTGTCTACGTTGGACTGCACCCATGCCATGAGGTGCTCAATGTATTCCGGTGCCGGCATCTTGGTCGGCTTCTTGTAGTTTTCCGAATCTTGCCAGAGGTACTCGAATCTGATTACTGTCAACAACATGCTCAAGCCATGCCCAGTCGCTGCCTTACTCGTCGGTAGCCTTCATCTCTGGACAGCTCTGAGGTGAGCAAAATTCGGTGATGGAGCCATAGAGTAGGTTGATTTGGTTGTAAAAGTCGACGACTGCGCTCGCGAATCAGCTGGCTTCGGCCTCATCTTCAGCACAATGCGCACCATTGACTGCCAGCCACTCGTCCTTGTCTTCTCCCTCGGGTAACCTGACCGCTTTCCTTAGACTTCCACTACCAAGCGTAGCCTCTGCATACTGCTTGAGCTGCCAGCTGCTCGTGCCTCGGTTTCCCTTTTGTGGCTTGAAGGGTGCGCGCGTTCGTGGGTTACTAGACCATGGGCAAAGTCAGTCTTTTTCCACCCAAGAATCTCTGTTGTGCATGCGCTAGGGTAGTAAGAGGGCCACCAACACGGTAGTTATAAAGTTGGACATCTTGTCAAGTCGCGCTACTTTGTATATATCTCCTGCTGCACGTCTGTTTTCTGTTCTCCGGTCTGGGCGTTTGAGGAATGCGCAACCGTTTTGAGCGAATGATTGAATGAATAACAGGAGATCACTTTGCGTCAGAGGCTGTGAGGTAAGAGGGCGAATAAGCGCTTGTTGGTGACGTTGGGCTGGCTTGGTCGGGTTCAGAAGTGACGATGGTGTTTAGGCCCCGCAACAAACAATCGATAATCGCCGGCCGCAACCACCACCGCCACTTCCACTACGCTAACACGTGATACGCCTCGCCCCCCTTGCCAAATAGGCACATGCATCCTATTGACACACGATACACTTCATGTGTTATAGATACGCCACGCATTATCTACACAGTTACTTTTTCAGGCGACAGATCATGAAAGGAATGAACGCCACCAGTGTGTGAAAAAAACAAATACTCTGCATGTACTGCGCCTCTATCATGAGTCTAGCATCTAACCCTCACTAGGTGACAACCCAGTCTACTAAATACTGCATCATCTAACAGACATGTCGTATCCACCATGCTTTTTCATGGCTTATTTGCTAAAGTACGGGTCTTGCTCAAAGTAATCGCCATCGTCACGCTTACGCCCATTGCGGTTTCCGTTTCTGCCTCGCGTGTCGGGAGCATCATCCATCGTCTCCAACTCGTCCGGCTCATACTCTTGCATACCCTTCTTGATGCGCTGGAGTTGTCCGCTGACGTAGTGGTTCAGACGATCCTCCATAGCTGACTTTTGCTCAAGCGCCGCTTGGTCTAACACACCAACTGAGTTCTTGCGCCTTATCGGGCCTGATTCATCATCATAGTCTTCTTCACCGTTGGTCGACGTCTCTCCCCAATCACTTCGGAAGCCGATACTACGGCTTGTTGATGATCGACGAAGAGCATGGCGTTTGGCCGGTTTGCCTGCAGGCGTAAAGACATCGTCAAAGTAGTGGCTAGCAGCACCAGTTGGCGTGCGTGGTGTCTGTGGGAGACGACAAGTCATGCTGTCTCTCGTTAGCCCTGTTACACTACAAACTCATGAACAAACTTACCCAGTGTCATGAATCATCTTCGCAATCAGACCGGTCCAGCCGCATTGATGTGTCGCTCCCAACCCGCGTCCAGTGTCGCCATCGAAAAACTCATGGTACCACATGTAGTCTTTCCAGTTGGGGTCGAAGTCAAGCATCTCGTTTCCGTTATTGATGGCCCTCCTGCCGTCATCTCCGCGGGCAAACAAATGCTGGAGACGATGTTGAATCTCCTCTGCTACGTGGCCAAGATGCATATAGTCACCAGAACCTGTAGGGCACTCAACCTTCAAGTTGTTGCCGTAGTAGAGATGGAACCTCTGGCAGGACTCGATAAGCAAAAAGTTTACCGCCAGCCAGATCGGGCCTCGCCAGTTGCTGTTGCCGCCGAAAAGGCCGCTGTCTGAATCACCAGGCAGGTAGGCCACCTCGTACTTTTCGCCGTTGACATCCATGGAGTAAGGGTGGTCCTTGTGGTACTTTGAGAGTGATCGAATACCATGATCAGCCAAGAACTCATCTTCGTCCAACATCCTCTTCATTATCCGCTTGAGACGGTCTTCGTTGACAAGCGACAGGAGCATACGATTGCCTTGACCGCGTTTGGACAGCGTGTGAATGTTACGCTTCGATTGCTCTGGGCGATTGGCAATGAACCATTCTACACGCTTCTTGAAACTGGGCAATCTGTTGATGATCTCCGGTTCAAGTGTCATGGTCGAATATAGGGGAATAAGACCCACAAGAGAACGGACTGGCATCTGATGACTCCATGGGCCACCCCACGAGATGGCATCGTAGTAGAAGCCGTCCTCTTCATTCCATAGTGGCTTTGACTCGCCTTCGCTGCGGAACTGCATGGCGTCGCTAATCATGAGGAAGTGCTCGAAGAACTTGGAAGCCATGTCCTCGTAGATGCGGCGTCTCTTGGCAAGTTCGAGACAGATGTTCAGCATGTTCAGGCAGTAGAAGCCCATCCAGCCAGTGCTGTCGGCCTGTTCCAGAACACCGCCGGTCGGTAGAGGATCGGAACGGTTAAAGACGCCAATGTTGTCAAGACCCAAGAAACCACCCTCAAAGATGTTCTTTCCGTCCGCGTCTTTTCGGTTGACCCACCAGGTGAAGTTGAGCAACAGCTTCTGGAACACACGCTCGAGGCAGTCAAAGTCCTCGCGTCCATACATCTTACGCTCAATCTTGAACACCCTGAATAATGACCAGGCGTGAACTGGAGGGTTCACATCACCAAAGTTCCACTCGTAAGCCGGCAGTTGGCCGTTGGGATGCATGTACCACTCGCGTGTGAAGAGATCGAGCTGCTTCTTAGAAAAATCGGGGTCGATCATCGCCAGTGTAATACAGTGGAACGCGCTGTCCCAGGCAGCAAAAAACGGATACTCCCAGGAGTCAGGCATGGAAAGGATATCGTCCAGGTGCATGTGTTTCCACTCTTTGTTTCGTATCGCTTTTCGTTCAGGTGGCGGAGGAGGCATGGCCGGATCACCATTGGCCCACTGGTCCCAGATGAAGTGGTAGTATTGCTTACACCACATCATACCGGAAAACGCTTGGCGCTGGACATTGCGCAAGTCATCCGCAATTGGAAGAGGGCTTATCCTGTAGTAGAACTCGTCCGCCTCTGCGCGGCGTTGCTCAATGATGTCGTCAAAGAGCTCTTCGTCGAGATAGCCGTCGTCTTTTCGCGAGAGCCTGAAGCGGACTACTGCACACTCGCCAGGCTGGACACCCTCGCCTTCATCGAAAGCGTACCACGCAGCACATTTGGTGCCCGTGTTTTCGGGGTTCGCAGCATCCTTTTCATCATCTACAATGTAGCGATGGAAAGCGTCCTTGACATATGGCGTCTTGTTCTCAACCTTCCATATGCTCTTGTAGTTGGTGTCATTGTCGGTGAAGAGCAGCTCAGGCTGGATATCCTCACCACTTGGACCAGTACCGGGAGATGGTGAAAGCTGAAAGTATCGGTCTCCGAGCTTGTGGTGTTTTGACTGAGCAGTCGTTGGGCCAATCTTAGTAATAGAAGGCTTTAGCTTTGGGTCTTCGTGACCCCACGCCCAAGTGTTCCTGAACCAGCAGTGAGGCACTATGTGCAGTGGGGCTGGCTCCGGACCGCGGTTGTATGCTGTAACTCGAAAGCACAGCTCTTCCGGGTCGTCCGCCTCTTTGGCAGTCTCAATGAATATGTCCCAATATCGGTCATCGTCGAAGACGCCAGTATCTACAAGATTGTACTCAGGCTCGAGCCGTGTTCGCTTCGCGTTGGTCTCGATGAGGTCTTCGTAGGGGAATTTTCGCTGAGGTAGCTTGTAGAGAAACTTCATGTACGAATGCTACAAGTAACGTCAGTGAATTGATTCCAAATAGGACCCTGAACGTACAGTTGGGGTGTTATCCAAGTGGAAATGGCACTCTTTGAGCGACTCGCCGTGGTTGCCCTGGGGATTCGACAGTCCGAAAAGCCGCTCCTTTAGGAAATCACTATACGAAATCAGATGGCTCTCTCGTCTTTGTGCTCAAATTGACTCACTCCTTCTCATTCCAGAAAGCAAACGCAATATTCTGGAAGCCGTGCGAGTCGGAGACGCCAGCGATACCGTCCTCGCCCCAGCGGAAAGCACGAGACCGTGCCATATCGTGCGTGAAATCTACAGAAATTAGCAAATACTGATAGAACGAATACAAAGAATCCACTTACGACTCCAAGCATCTCCATCATGACTGCAAAGTAAAGTCGGTCAGCAAAAAGCGGCATTAGAGAGCACGATGGTCACTTACGAGTAGTCTTCGCGGACTGGATGTGTGTCAGTATGGCTCAAACACAACTACACGGTATAAAACTGACCTGTTGCCCATTGTCGCTCGGCAACATAGGGACCCCATCGCTTCCAGTAGGCGGTGCGCTCGCGGTCCTGCTTGAGGCGCTGTTCCTCTTCGCAGAGGTATTCTTGATTCTCAATGAGAACCATTGTGACTGTAGGAGCCGGTGCAAGTGGGCTTCCGAGTCACTGTTAGGAAGGAAGAGTGGTGGGGTGGACGGCGCAAGGAGCGGCGTGGAGATAATAATTGCCTGCAGGCAGTATGGGGCAAACAATGGGGTAGTCCGACAGCCAAGATGTTATTTCGAGAGGGACTCGGGAGAGGGGAGGATCGTACGCAGACAAGCGGTCTGGAAAAGAAAAAGCGATTCTGAGGGCAATGGATCAATAAGAACGACGACAGACGACGCAGGCATTGGCCAGGCGGGTGTTGTTGAGCTAGCCCTTGCGAACCGTGGACGTGCAAGAATTCGCGATACAAAGTACATCATAGGTATCCGTGCATTGCGGCGGGACTTATCGCGAACGGCTGGCTTATGCCCACTCAAGTTTAACGTCTTCGCCCGCCCGGTTTCACGCCCATGTCGATAGAGCCGCAGAAAACTGGCCCAGCAACGTTGCAAAAGACGTGTCGGGCTTGTATTGCACGTCATTGTTTAGACTTGCGCTCGACTGGACAAGTTGCGTCCCCAAAATCTCTGCGCCAAAGTGTTGAGCGAGCTTACTGCCACGATAGCAGGCGTTAGTGCCGGGTTGTTCCCCACCATGCCCATCGGCGATGATCAGCACTGGTCCAGCCCTCGGAGAGATGCTCAATGGGCTGCGGGAGGTGGGAAATGGCTAGTCGTGACAGCCCTAGTCTCCGCGCTGTCTAGTTCTTCACGCTGCACTGGGCATCAAAGACTTGGGGCATGCGGCGACTGAGCAACTGCAGCTGCTGACAGGTTACCCTGACATACCATTTGCTTCGCGCGTTGCACCGCACATCGCGATACGCCAATTCACGTGACCGTTCCATGTTGCTGGTATACTAGTGCACCCTAAGTAGACAGCCCACTTTGTCATTGTCCCAATTGCCTTGCCAAGAACTCTTCGAAATTAATCTGTTCGTGGTTGCGTGTCCATTCAACAATCTGTTGACTTGTCGTATCTGATATGCGGTCTCGCTGTAGCGAGTATGGATACCACCGACGCATGTATCCCAGTCGCCAGGCTGTCCGTGTGCCCAAGGTTACCACATCACTGGCGTCGACCATACCCCAACCCGCTAGTCGGCTTTGATCCCAGAACAGCATACCGACTCTCCAAACGAGCTGCCGTCGCATCATATCACTAGGACTGATCGTTTTATACATGATCCAGCCGTAATTACGAAGTTGTATAGCCGGATGCTGTGCGTAGCCCACATGGCCCGCCCAAGATTCCCGCCTGTCAATGCGACGGTGTTGTTCTGCCACTGCATGAGAGTAGCGAAGAAAGCTTGTGTCTCGGCCAAAGACATGACCTCTATCCATATCCATGGCAGCAGCTCTGCTGTAGTTTCGCAAGTACGATGACTTTTGCAAAAGACATTCGCAACATGTGTATCGTTTATCAATGATTTCGTCGTAGAGGCCGCCTGGAGACTTCTGGCACGAATCTAGAAAACCTTCAACCGAGCTTCCTTGAGCCATCTGCCACGGCGCTAAAGTCTGCATGAATGCAGTTGCGAAGTCCTTCACTGACGTGTGGCCATTGGGTACGAATTCGGACCTGAGCTGGTAGTAGATTTTGACGATCAGAAGAGCGCTTACCAGTCGTGTATGCTCCGCCACAGACAGCACGACAGGCGTGACAGCCACATGTGGGTCTATGTAGATCTGCATTGCAGCATTCATACCTTGTGCGACTATATCTGCGGCCACGTCTACTTCGACGTAGATGTCCACTAGACCCCGCATATAGTCCAGAACATTATCTCCACTGCGGAGAAATCGCGAACAAATAGCTGGCCATTGGTCCAAGTTGGCCTGCTCCAATAGGTCGAGCGGTTTATCACTATCAAAGTCGTCGTCGCTGATGTTGTGTGATGCCGTCGCAACATGTAGCAAGCCGGCGACAGGCTGAGGGATTTCTGAGAGTGAACCTTGGATTACAATGTCTGGATATTGGATACAAAGGCTTCTGACATACCAAATGACGCTCAGAAGCCTCCCAATCGAAATCAAGTCGCACCTACAGATTACCTATTGCATGCAGTCAGTTTTAAGCGCTTCTTGTGAGACATCTCGTGAATATTACAAGTAGTTGCAATTCTGCAGGCAACTTAGTAAACTGGAAGACAGGTCTGGAACCTCGTCTTAGGTTACAAGCGGCTTTCTGTCTTGCATTTCGTGCCATTGAGCTGTGGTGTGAGTAATATGTAAAAACAGGGAGACTATGGTTGCCTACACATGTCGACGCTAGCGCCAACTACGGCAGATCCTCGGGCCGCGCAACGATGCTCAGGTACGTGGAAGTTCAACTAAGCCCAGTGCAACACACGTCCTTCACCATATCACCCCCGCACCTCCGTACACAAGATGCTGGTCTCTCTTACAGTCGGAAAGGTCGATGCTGGTGTAGCTGTGCTGCTCACCGAAGACAAACGCCTGGTGAGTGCCCTCAATGCCTTGCAGCACACGAATTCACCCTAGCTGACGTCAATCTAGATTGAATTCCCCTCGATATTGCTCCCGCCAGATATCTCTTCTGGGTCTATGGTGGATATTGACGTCGGACGCAACTACAAGGCCGAAGCCGACGCACAGAAAGCCTTCCATGAGCTCCAGTCTGAGATCTTCCGCACCTTCGGTCAGCGCACGCCCTCGGCGCCTGTTCTCAAGTGTCGCAATGCCACGCAAACCTCCGTAGTCCTCGAATGGGATCCCATCGATATCGCGACCGCCGAGCTACGCAGCCTCACGCTCTACCGCAATGGTAACAAGGCTGGCACAATACCCAAGCCCACTGATCAGCACAGCACCAAGTTGAGTGGCCTGGCAGTCGACACAGAATACCAGTTTCACCTTGTCCTGAAAACTAGTGCCGGCACGTTCAGCAGCGAAAAGCTGAATGTACAAACACACAAGATGACGGACCTGTCAGGTATTACCATTACCCCTGGTCACATGCCTGCAGCTCTTCGCGAGTCTCTACAACGATCTGTGGAGCGAATCGGCGCTAAAATTGCGGACACTGTTCGCATTGACACAACGCATTTCATCTGTACTGAGGGACGAGGCCCAGCATGGGAGAAGGCAGTCGAGAACAACATTCCCGTTGTAGTGCCAGATTGGGTCATAGGATGTGAGAGGGAAGGAAGGATAGTTGGCGTCAGAGGCTACTACCTGAATGCCGATCCACGGCTACGGAGCGTCGGTGTTGGGTCTTCACAGCAGCAGTCTCAGCAATCATCACAACCACAGCAGCAACAACCACAGCAGCAGCAGCAGCAGCAGCAGCAGCAGCAACAACAACAACAACCAAGGAGTCCAATAATAAGCCCAAGGACTGAAATCACGCCACCCACTCCTGAGCAACCCAGGCAAGGTCGGGACGCAGAAGGTGCCGCACCACCCCCACCACCCAAAGATGACGTGAGCGAGAGAAGTGAGAGAAGCTCATTAGAGTCCAAGTTGCAAACAGAAGAGCACAGGAACAGGACAGATGATCTGAAACCTCAGTCTGGAAGGGAAAAGCAGCAAAGCGGAAGCGAAGGAGACGATTCAGAGCCAGAACCAAGTGACGAAAAGTCGATAGAGGCGAGTCTACCCCAGAGAGCAAAATCAGGGCAGGCGTCTGTTGAAGAAGACGATAATGGAGAAAGCTTTCAAGATGTGCAGCTCTAGAAGAATGGCACTGAGAGGGGATGTAGGCTGTGGACAGTTGCTATCCAATCATAGCTTGAGTTGCGGAGTTTCCCAAAACTCGCCTCCTGGTCGGGCACACCGTAACTACTGTCGATGCTTACTTCTCTTACTCTCGCAATTCCTCCTTAACTACTGCATACACTAGAAGATTGTAATGCATACCATTCTGTCTAAGTCCGTGTTTCTGGACATTACTATCAATCCTCACAACGTCGTCTTCATTGCCCTGTTCTTTACATGCTTTTGCTCATGGTTATAATTGCCACAATAGGGCGGGCTGGTACCTACGCAATTCTACCTGACAAGTATACCTCCCAACGTTAATGGCGTTCGCAAAAGCATAGGATACTTGGAGAAAATAGTTCGGCTAATCGGAATCTAGTGCAGAAGAGTCAGCACCTTACTTATTGAGGACGAGAGCACTGTTGTCACTTTCTTATTATCGTTTTATGTCTGCTATATGATCCCGAGCGAATCCGATCCGCGCTCACCCGGCTGGTAAATACATGGCCGAGCGCACACTCTATGAGCCCCGTCATTGGAACAAAGGTATATCCTCGAATGCCGTGCCGTCCTTCGATGTTACCACGTGTATTACTACGTGTATTTACACGCAATCCTCTAGTTCATTCCGGCGTCCTGTATATTCGATCTTGATAAGGGATGCCCACCATTCGGTCCTTTTGAGGAATGGTCTCGACGATTTGAGTAAACCTAGGTCAAGTCCCAATCGTAGACATCTGTTTATGCTTCCAAACGGGACGCTAGCGCAGACGGAGCGTAGAATTGGGGAGTGCTATCCCCACATCGGCGTACTCGGCCCTTCACCATTGGCCTTGCGACAGCACGGACGGCACTTTACCCCTGGACAAGCTGTGCGGTGTTCACAGCGTAATATTTTTTCCAACGCACCCTGTCGAAAGTCAATTTAGCGACAAGTGGGGTGGTTGGAGATATATACCAGGGCGTCCGCCATGTCAATCGTCCGGCATGATCACGACTTTTCTTTCTTTCGAGACGACGAAGAGGCAGCAAAAATGGCGGTGTCCTTACAGCTTCCACCTATATTCCTCTACCTTCAATTTCCCATCCTTTTCTTGAATAACGCTGTTGCGCTTGCGCTGGGACCTGAGCGCCAGTTTCTGCGTGTGTCCATCAGCCTACCCATACTTGTTGTGTTCGTCGCGCAGTCACTATACCGAGAATGGGATGTCGGCTGGGGTTACAAGTACGGGATGGAAACGTTTGGGATGTGTCTGGTTTATTTCTACATTGGCTGGATTCTTCTAAAGAGCCCGGACAAAGAAGGATGGTACAAGATCCAGTATGGCAAAGGAAACGAACAAGAGAAAGATAAAGATAAGATGACGAACGGCAAGATGAATGGCAATGGTGTACCAGCGAAAAAGAGATATCAACACGTACCAGGAGGTGCGGGTACAACTTTCTGGAGTCGATTGTGGTGGGCTACGCGTCTTTCTTTTACAAACAGATATGTTGGTTGGAGTCAACAAGTCAAGGGTGTTGTCATGGAAGTTCCATCCGATTATCCTCGTCTGTAAGTCACCCCTTCAACCAACCCAAATCCTTCACACAACCCACAACTAACATGCGCCAAAAGTCGTTTCATTGTCGAAAAACTTATCCACGGTTTAATCTACTGGGCAATCTCTGATATCCTCACGGCATACTCCGCCGCCTCCCCATACGGCACCTTTGCCGACTTGCAGAGTTCATCCGCAAAACCGTATCAACCCTTCGCCCCAGATGCCCCCTTTTGGGCAGTCCGATTCTGGTACACGTGGGTGCACATCCTAATCACGTGGTCCACCCTCTCAATCTGCTTCGCACTCAACAGTATCCTTGCAGTCGCGCTCGGCTTCGCGAACCCGCGTGATTGTCCTTCCGGCTTCGGTCATGTCCGCGATCTCTGGAGCGTACGACAGGCTTGGTCTGTAGTGTGGCACCAGCAATTACGCTTCATTTGTAGCGCCCCAGCTATGTGGCTCGCTCGTGATGTGTTTGGGTTTCCAAAGGGAAGTTTCGGGTCGAGATATGTGCAGCTTTTCGTGACGTTTACTAATTCGGCGATTATTCATTCTGCGGCGGCGATGCTGGTGAATCAGGCGTGGAGCGATGATGGTGGGTCTGTGTTCTTTATGAGCCAGGCGGTGATTATCCTTGTCGAGGATCATCTTATCGCTTTGGGGAAGAAGATGGGGTTCAGAGATAATTTGATGTGGCGGATGGTGGGCTTAGTGTGGACTGTGATCATGATTGGATGGCCGGCTGAGTATTGGATCCGCAGACAAATTAGTTATGGCATATGGGTACATGAAAGATCGCCTGATCTGTTGGGCATCGGGCCTAAATAAGGTTAGATGGGAAATATTCTTTAATTTGGGAGTGCATAGATTACAGAGCGATGTTTGGGTTCATGGTGATGTTATGTTGTTCTTATCACATCAATCATCCGATGCTTAGAGCATTCTGAAATCCATTTTTTACGTTTGAAAAGGCGAATTATCCAAGGTTTAGAACATATGTAAATTTACCGGCTGGACCGTTAGCAAGCATGAGCCTTTTCACCAGAAATTCCATAAGCCTTCCAATACCCAAATATCAACTCCAATCTATCCTAGCACGGCACCTCAGCCAAACCCTGTCTCAATCAGCCCACCAACCATACACCTACTCTCAAATCCTCATGCCATCAAGAACCCAACTTGTTACTCGCAACCTCCAGCCTCTCCCTAACCCTCTTCAACCTATCCCCATCCTTCTCTTTCTCGCCTCCCTTGGCATTCTTCTTTTCCTCCTTCTCAAATCTCCCCCTCCATATTCCCACATAATTAACAGCCCCCTGCCTCGCCCAAACCTGCCACCACTCTTCCTTCGCCCACTTCAGCAGCACTTCCTCACTTGCACCCGCGTAGATCGCATCTGTCCAACACATACTCTCTTCCTTGGGACGCGGTGTGGAGAGCATATACGGTGTGCCGGTGGAAGGGTCGAAGTGCGTCCAGCGCGATAGACAGGCGAGTTTGGCTTCGATGGACATGCTGAGTGGTGGGGGGCGTGGGTAGAAGGAGATTGGGGGTTGGCGGGGGAGGGGGGATAGATAGATTGTTGTGGGTTGGGCGGGGAAAAGGGTGTTGGTGTATGTGATGGTGGGGGTCACAATATGTGGTGATGGCTGTAGTGTTTCTTGGGAAGGGGTAGGCTCGAGGTCAGGTGGTATAAGGGGTGCATGCATAAATGCAAGGTTGACTGATGCAATTCCAGTTTCCCATCTTTCTGTACCGATGAGTATGGCGTTCATGATTAGATTTGCCAATCTTTGTTCTTCGAGCTTTCTGAGATGGCGGCGCGTTTGGTGTAGTACTGTTCTGCGGTGTTGGGAAACATGGTGAAGACTTTGTCGCGGACAACAGATCTGGTGTGCTTGTACCATGCTTGGAGATCTTGAGGGTTATTTTCCGTACTGCCATCTTCGAGCTTTACAGTTTCTGGAGAACTAGTAGTAAAGCGGTAGCCAGGATAGTGCTCGGGCACCCACTCTTTGATGAAGTAAGTCCAAGGCGCAGATCGTTCTTCTAGTCGGTCTTGATAGTTTTCCTCGGCGAGCCGTGCAGCAAAATGCGCTGGATTGAAGAGCCATGAACTAGTAAGATACTTGTATACTGGTAGCATGATCAGCATAATCTGCACTACGCAACCCATGTTCATCAGCAGACTTACTCTCTTCCTTGGTGCTGAACCCAGCTTTCACGATTCTGAAATCCAAACCAGCAATTCTTAGGATATCCTTTGGATCCTTGCTGATCCATACCATACTCTCGTTATGATCGGTCTCTTCTAAGTCTTTGACGCGAATATGAATGCCTTCAGGGTCAATAGTGAGCCCTAAAGGCTTCACCATACTCCCAATAATTTTACTGTTACTTGCATAGCTGAGCTCAAATGTGTACCATTCGAACAACTCTGGCTTGAAGCAGACTTTAACATCAATCTGGATGAAATAATCTTCTCCGTCACATGGTGTATCGACGGCAAAATACATGCAATCATTGGTGAGATAGCCTCGACGGCCATGTGCGGTTTTGAAGGCGTCTTTGACAAGATGGACGGTTTCTTCCCATGGAAAGTTGTCTATCGTGTGAGGTCATGGGGAATGCAACGGGCTACAAACTAGGAAGTCGATGTCGCCATAGTCGTTCTTGGGTACTTAGTAGGGGAAACAATACTCTCTACTTCTCAATCTTACCTTTTTGGGCATCTCGGTTGGAACCACTACATGTGCGAATACTGTATGAAGTGCTATAGTAGCTTGGGCTTTGACGTTACAGTATACATCTGGATTGATGCGCGGATAATAGAGGTTTTTGAAGGCATGACCGCCCATCATGTAACGATGCAGTCGTATGAATGGGAGAGTAAGTTTTGGCTTGGACTTCTTCAAATAATCTGGGTTGATGGAATCTAAGAAGAAACGAGTGTTCTTGAGCAGATGTAGTAATTGTAAGTCTCTTTTGCAGGAACCTGACAAGTAAAGGTAAGAGCAGGTTTCGTATCTCGAAGCATTGCTTCTCGTGATATAGCTACTAAAATTCGCATTCAATTGTATAAGTCAGTTCTTATTTAGCATTACTTTCAAATATAGACTGACAATTGTTGAACAATCAGTTCCAGCTTTACCTTCATTGGAAAGGAATAGTCCCCTGTATGACCGACTGCGGTTGCGGTTTGGTACCAACTTTGGCACCCATTTCCAAAACAGTGCCAGATTCCCACACAGTTCATGGGCTGCTGCGACCAATCGTCTTACTCAATAGCTTCTTACCATTCTTTCTTTGCTCATTTACTTTCACGTCCTAAACACACTACGAGAAATCTGTATTGAGAGATCTAAAATAGCGGAAGGTTTTCTATCACAATCTCAGTCGAAGGCAATCAGGACATCGTAGTCGCCTCCCCTTTGCGACCGCCGCAGAGCATCTGGATGTGTCTATCGCCGAGGCCATGTGTATTTTACTTTTCGATTTTACACATGGAATTATCGCGACACTTCCGAACTCACTGGAAAATGGCTTAGATGAACTATTAAACCGATGGCTTATCCGCCTTGCTAATGTCAAGTAAAGAGTAGTTACCTGCTTTGATAAAACAGGACACACCTTTCGTACATTCAAAAAGTGCCTCAGCATCAGCCTTGCAGCTTGCATTGCATTCCCAAAAACTCAGCCTTGCGGCATTTCAGTCTCCAAAATTCGATTGGACCAGGCTGCATGACTTCACTTTCACCAAGCCGCTATCTGCGGTGTAGCAAACACTCTAAGCGCCCACCCCCCACACTCCTCTAGATACATAAAACCATCAAAACAACAACAACCATCAGTCTCAACTTCAACACTACAGAAACCAGAACCAAAATGGCCCCCGCACGCCTCCAAGCTATTCTCGCATGCATGAACTGCGGCGCCGCAGACTTTACCCCCTCCACCTACACCTCCAGCTCCGAAAAAGCATCACTCCTCCACTCACCCACTACTCGCCCAGAGACTCAAATCGCAAACAATGTAGTCGCAACATTGCTCACCACCTCAGTTACCGGGCAAGCCTTACGCATGCACCTTGACTCGCTCGTCGGCGCCTACGGCTGGCGCCAGAACCTTGCCCAATACATCCTCGATAATCTTGCGCAGGCCCTACAAGCCTCGCATGAGAAACTCGGCGCTACCATTCACGCTGCGTACCTCCGGGCCTGGGAGGCTGCACAGAGCGTTGAGGGGTTCGTTGTTGAGCATCCCGTCATGTGTACCGTGATTGCACTGGGCGTGCTTGCTATTGTCGCGCCGTGGATTCTTGAGGCGCTGGGATTTGCGGAGTTGGGGCCTGTGGAAGGTATGTGATACCATTGCTGTGCTTAAAACGATGGGGTGAGATTTGAGCTGACTTTGTTTGATTGTGTAGGGAGCTTTGCGGCGTTGTGGCAGGCTAGGTATGCTGGATATGTGCCCAAGGGTTCGCTGTTCTCGTTTTTTCAGCGACTGGGGATGAAGTGGCATTGGAAGCTAGTTGTGTGAATAGGAGTGGCGGAGGAAAATAGATCGAAGAACTGGGTACGTACGAATGCTGAAGGTATGGTTTGTGACGTATCTTTGGGCCAACAGAAGTAGTACGGGATGTAGTCGGTTGCAGAAGGTGATACCTAACGGTTAACAACAATAGGTAATTTGTATAGAGCTGCCCTATCGGTGTATTTTTCTAGTCAACGATATATGAAGACGATCAACGGGGGGATGCAAACATGCGAATTGGCTTCTAGTTGCTATTTACGTAGAAGCACCGGCGACTTATCGAAGCCCATCCGTCTCCAAACTCACATTATCTGCTCTAGAGCCATAGACTCCACCATCTAAAATCCATTGCTCATTGTCATCGTTATCATCTTGTACTCGCCGCCAGGTTTGTCTCTTTTCACCACCCTTCTCTTTCCCTTTACTCTCTTCGATCTTAATGGTTGGTCGGATTAGGCTACCCAACAGTGGGTTCCTGCTGAACGCGCCACCGCCACTCGATAGGGTGTTTCCATCTGCTGGGCCTTGATTGGGTTCAGGAAGTTCATCTTCGCTCTCTGGCGTAGCAAGCCGCTCTGTAGCAGCCATGCGCCGAACGAGCTTCTTGCCGGAGAGATCAATGCTAGCAACGACTTTGCGCTTCTCATATTCGGGCCGCGCATTCCATTCCTGATCTCGTAGGGCCTTTTGCTGGCGCTTGAGCTGCATGGCACGTTCCTGCGGGCTGGCCCACATGCTCAGTCCGGCGCTTGTGGTTTCGAAGTCTGCAGCCTCATCATGGACTTGAGTTCGCTTCGCATTCTGTGCCTGAAAGGCCAGCAGCTTGTCTCTGTGTTGTTTTGCTTTGGCCAGCTTCTCGTTCTCTGATTCTACATCTGAGGCAGGATTGGAAGATGCGGGTGTAGAACCACGGGGAGTGGAAAAAGGGCGAGGCGCCAATGATACTTCGGCGCGCTTCTGGCCGGCATTGTTTACAGCCATCTTCTCTTTTCCACGTTCTTCACGAAGAATGCGCACCATGGACTGGATATCTTGGGGACTCAAGAGTGCAGAGTTGCAGAAAGTACATGGGCCGATGCCTTCCTTTACACAGATAATCTTGCCGCAATTCAAGCAATTCGGCGCAGCTTCTAGGAGCGGGTGTCTAGTAGCCATACAATTACATTTTCGCTTGCTGTTGTCCTGGGTGGCTAAAGTAGGATTCGTCTGGATTTCTAGCGCTCTGATGGCTGACTCTAGGTCGTTCAGTGCTGTTGACGCGCCATGCATGGGTGTGCCACCAGTAACATTGACCTTAGCCTTAGGTTTAGGTTTGGGCTTAGTTTCTCCCACCACAGTGCCCGGAAGCTTCGCGGCTGGGGGAGCAGGGGAGACACCACGAGACTTTGGTGTAGCTGCTCCTGATGATGCAGTCGATTTTGGCAGCTGCAAAGCATCTGGCTGTTCCGAAAGTCCGAACTTGGCCGCTTTCGCTTTTGAACTACCTGCCATGTAGTCCTCCTCATCTTTCTTCATGTACGCACCGGAAACATTTCCATAATTATCTGGTTGTCGCGGCGGTGGGAGTTTATTCAGCCCGGTTTGCTTCTTTTTCTTAGGCTTTGACTTGGGTACTTCTGAAACATCATTTAACGGCTGGTTCTGAAGTGCGCCAGCAGTACTCTTGGGTTTCCTCCGGTTGTTGAAAGAAGTAATGAACTCGAGTGCTTGTGGACTATCTCCGAGTAAATTCTGGAGATGGTCTGCTGCTTCCTTCTGAGAGAGCGAGTCCGTATATGATATGACCTGCTTCAGCGACTCATCATCAAGAGGAAGAAGCTTCGAAAGCTGAGGTAGTGCCCAGAATGATAGATCCATAATTGCAGTTGTTGGGGCTTGAGGATGTTAGAAGTTAGAAGGCGTCTGCCGTGATTCATCACTTCACGCTAGTCTGTGTGGCTACTGTGTGGCTGGTGAAGGGACCGTGCGTTGATCTGGCGTTGGATTTCCAGATGCTGGGGAAGCTGCCATCATAGGCCTCACTCGCAACTCCGCATATCCACTATGGCTACTGACGTCGCACTCGACACTACAATCGTATGTTTTGCATTCTATACAAGAGAGAACCAGTCTAACTTCAACAGGGCACTGTTGTTGTCGAACTCTACAATGACCATGCGCCAAAGACATGCAAGAACTTCTCAACCCTCGCCCAGCGCGGCTACTTCAATGGCCTCATATTCCATCGCATAATACCAAACTTTATGATCCAAGGAGGCGATCCTACGGGTACTGGTCGAGGCGGTGAATCTATTTATGGCGAAAAATTCGAAGACGAGATATCCCCGCAACTCAAGCATACTGGAGCTGGCATCCTTAGCATGGCCAATTCAGGCCCTAATACAAACGGGTCTCAGTTCTTCATTACCCTCGCACCCACACCATGGTTGGACGGCAAGCACACCATCTTTGGCAGGGTCAAGAGCGGCATGCAGATTGTAAAGAAGCTTGGTTTGGTCAAAACAGACAAAGAGGATCGCCCGGTAGAAGAAGTCAAGATTGTTAGGGCATACATCCCAGACGATAACGCTCAAGCGTTACAGCGCTATTAGCGCGCGACAAAAGATAAATTGGTTTGACGCTCGCGCAAAAGCCTCATGCTCGCAATGTCAATAGTGCTCTGGTGTGAGTTTGGAACCTCCATATTGCAGAATAGACACTCATACGCCCAGCTAGTTCAAGGCGCCGTTCGGGTGGATCAACACCTTGGTATACCCTTCGATCCTCTTGTCAAACTTCTCGTACGCTGTTGGTGCATCCTCGATGTTGATCTCGTGAGACACAACGAAACTTGGCTTGGCCCTGCCCGACACGATCATATCGCGAAGATACCTGTTGTATGCTTTGACGTTGCATTGTCCAGTTCCGAGGTGCAGGCCCTACTTGGATCAGTGCTGGAAAATGAATCTGGTGCACATGCGTACCTTTTCAAAAAGCTTTCCGAATGAGATCAAAATCTGGCCCTTCTTGCTTTGTTCATCCGGTGCTCCGGGATCAGCTGGCACATAGAGCCCTGGAATGCCTAGCCCTCCAGTTGGGCGCGTGACCATGATCAACTGGTCAAGGACGATGTTGGGTTTCTCTGTGCTACCCGATGCATCCACTGCCTGGTATCCAACGGCATCCACTGCGCGATCAACCATGCCGCCGTTAAGCTTGATGATTTGTTCAACAGGATCGCTCTTTTTGAAGTCGATGGGTACGCAACCGATCTTTTCTGCTGCTTGTAAACGTTCAGGGACCGTATCCACAACAAACACCTTGCTTGCGCCGCGTAGCACACCACTGTATGCTGCCATCAGACCAACAGGGCCCGCACCAAACACTGCTACACTCTCGCCAGACTTGAAACCAGAGAGCACTAGTCCGTGCCATCCCGTTGGGAAAATGTCCGCAAGTAGAATGAAATCAGCCTCGTGCTCAGTCCCTTGTGGCAGTTTTAGTGCATTGAAGTCGGCAAACGGTACCCTGAGGTATTGTGCTTGGCCGCCTTGATATGGTCCCATGGCCACATATCCGTACGCGCCACCAGCAAAGCCGGGGTTTACACTGCGATCGTTAGATAATGCTCTGATGGCTTTCCGCCAAGTCTTGACTTACCCAGTACAGAACGCTGTCTTGCCTTCTTCGCAATTGCGACACCTGCCATCCGCAACGTTCTAGGAAGCTCGACTTCAGCCCACTCATCTACAGATGGCATTATGCGTACTCACAAATGGCAATACAATCCGATCGCCCTTTTCCAAGAGAGTCACGCCCGGCCCAGCCTCGATGACGATCCCCATGTTCTCATGGCCGAATACGAGACCAGCTTCCGCTGCGGTCCGTCCCTGGTACATGTGCAAGTCGGATCCGCAAATGGCTGCCGTCGTGACCTTGACAATGACGTCATCTGGATGCTGGATCTTGGGTAACTCAACGTCCTTGACTGAGACTTTGAATGGGCCTTCGTAGTGTACTGCTTTCATTGTGTTGCCTGACATATTTGGGAATGTCGGCTTTGTCTTTCTTGTTAAGTGAACTATGTTTGGTATTGAGGTATGAGAGCGTGGTAAAACTCGGAAATGCGGATTATTAGGACCTAGGTATGAGTAAAGTTAAGAATGAAAGGTTTGTGATGTGGGAACGACGCGGTTACGTCCCCTTATCAAGGGAAACCATCCTGCCCCATTCATATACTCCTTCCCGCTAGCTCTGTTCCGGTAGGTAGGCCACTGCCCTTCCTACATACATGGCAACGGGTTATCCCCTCCCCCGAGCATCAATACCTCGGTTTTGAAGCAATCACGAATGCGTGCTCTAGGCGGTCACAAACCAAGTTGACTACGTACGTAACCTGATGCCCCCCTCTGGTGCAAAATGGGAAGCTCCCCCTCATTCTTGGACTTTTTCGCTCGAGTTGGCATTTAGAGGCGTCATTATTGAGGGGCTGAGGCGGCAGATGGGGAGGGGGGGTGTGGGGTATTACTTTCCGAGTCGGAATCTAGTGCCTTGGGCTTGTTTCCGAGGGTGCTACGTTTTCCTTGGACTATGAAATTTGCGCGATTGGACTATATCGGGGTTGCGTTGATATGATCAGGGTATGCGTCTTTTCTTTCCTGTCTGTTGACGAGAGCGTGGAGGTACTATTGTGTTATCGGGATTTTTGAAGGCGATAGAAAGTATAGAGTTTGATGAATCTGGAGCTGAGAGCTGTGAAAGTAAGTTACCATGTGGCAGGAATCTGGTTACTACAGTAGGTTAAGAGTGAGACACTATGGTGTGGGTAATAATACATTGTCTCACGGGTTTGGGATTAGTAGATGTCGCAGTATTTCGTTTCTTGTACACACGGTGCGAATGGCGTTCACGCAAACTTTCTTGCATTTTAGTTTTCAAAGTATGAGATTAAGTGAGTAAAATCCGTTGACGAAGTTTGTATTTATTGTACTTTGCTTAGTCTCAAATTTAGTAACTGTTGGAGTATCTATACGCATACATGTGTGTAACATCACCAAGGTCCTATGTTGTACTAGGTAAACTTGCAAAACAGATTTTCATATTGTCTAGCCTACTACTAGCTGCACGGATTCCGTAGCTAATTGCAAGACTTTTCATTATTTCCAGATGTTAGCAGTTCGGTATCTACCGAACTCATGTATTTACCTTTGTCTGATAGTACGAGGCTATGCCAAAACACACATTACCAGCCTATTTTGTTTACAATTGAACGATATCAACCCTCTTTTCGAACTAGATACTCTGTCACATCATCACGTACAGTCTTAATCTAAGGCACGAGCTAATGACTACTCTTATAACCTAGAATTCCGTGTTATCTTGAGTAGAGCTTATGAAGCGAAACAGAAACAGAAAATAGCTAACATTTCAAGCAAGCAAGAATTATCTAGAAAGATTTGATTGAGCGGCGTTGTACATGTTTCAGTGATACAGTATCACTACACGCTCAAATACATCAATTTTGTACCTGAATCTCTTCCTTAGTTACTACTTTCGATGACTTTTCCTCCACTGGTTTTGTTTTCTTGGCATTATCAAGTAGCCGCACTAGTGCCATGTGCTTCTTGGAGAGTGCTAAGTCTCGCGCCTGTTTCCCTTTGGTAGTTTTTGCACCTACGTCCGCCCCTCGATCTAATAGAAGCTGGACCATCGCCTCTTCTCCCCCCTTACTAGCCTCGTGCAGCGGTGTCTCTCCCGCCCTATTCTTTGGTTCCAAATTCGCCCCTCTGTCTAATAGTAGCTGAGATATCACCGTACTCCTTGTCGAAACTGCAACGTGTAACGGTCTACCTTTGTGCCTCGTCTTTGCTTCTATATCCGCTCCTTTGTCTAGGAGCAGCCGAACCATTGCCATGTTGCGTGTTTCAACTGCTCCGTGTAGTGATGTGTTTCCAGATTGGCCCCTTGCTTCTATGTTTGCCCCCGCATCCAATAGCAGATCTACTATTATTTCATTCCCCACGCGAACTGCAAGGTGCAGAGGCGCTTCTCCATGGAAATCTCTTGCATTTACAGCTGCCCCTTTGCTGATCAGTAAACGGAGGATTTCTATATCTCCTACTCGTGCTGCTATATGCAACGGCGTTCTGTTTTCCATGTTTTTCACGTTGACCTTAGCGCCCTTATCAATCAATATCCGTACAATGTCTTGGCTCCGTGCTAGAGTTGCTAGAAATAACGGTGTATTTCCCCTCTTATCTTCCAAATTTATATACTCTCCGAATTCTGTGTCACCACCTTCCAATACCAGTTCCGCTTCTACTAATGATGCAATTCCAAGATAGCACGTCAGATGCAGGACTGGGATATCAGATGGAAAATACATATACTTGAGAGTTGTGTATTTTGCCCACCAGTAAGTTCGGATAGATGGTTCGTTATAGATAAATCGTTTAAGAGTATCAAGCAGCGCAGCATCTTGTGCTAAACAACCTCTTGCATGCTCAGGCCAATGGAGCACTGAATAATCCAACAGATGAGACTTTTTTAACTTAAAATTGGCAAGTGAATCAGAAGACAAATGCCATAAGCCGCTCTGCGTAATGCAATCGAGACAGGTTATCGTTATTTCCAGATTTGCATTCTCTGGCTCGATGCGAAACTCCTCTAGAATCTTGTTGTTATCTCTCTCTTTTCGCAGTAAATAGTCTCGTGCTGACTGGTGGATGAAACCAATCTCTTTCTGTTTTTGACGCCAGACATGATAATCTCCGGGTATCAGATGATTGCCCTCCACTTTTCTCGTTTCTTGTTCTTGAAGTAGGGGTTTGCAATAAAATATAGCATCGCGAATCGCCTGCTCTTCAGTGATTTGAGTTGGGAATGGAGACTGGATACTTGTCGCAGCAGCCAGCTCCTGCAGCGATAAAGGGCGTACAGCCAGAGCTACCCAACGTAAGATATTACAGCTGGTTTCTCTCTGTTCCTCTGGTATCTGAAGCAGCATACGGCTATAGATCGCAGGTAAGCCCCTTGGGAGGCCTCGAAGCGCCTTCAAGACTTCACTGCAGGTACGCTTTTGCGACAATTCGTGTATTGCAAAGCCTACCCAGAGGAAAGTACCCTCGGCCCGATCTAGTAGCTCTTTCTGAACAGACGCTTGCAATTCGCCGTTGAAACCTTCAATCTCTGAAAGATCGCTCATCCGTGCAGATATGAACAGTTCAATATCGCTGCTCACCCTCTCGTCATTATCGGGGTCTAGCCTCACCCTCGGACAGTTTTTAAGTCCAGGCATTTCCCGGCTGATTATCGCGAGCTTAAACATGTTTTGAGTTGAGGAGTTTTGTCCATTCAGCAGGGTTACAAGTCGCGATACTAGTCCTTTCCGTATGCTCTCCTCACACTCGTCGAGCCCATCGAGCACGCAGAACACCGTTCCAAAGTCAACATCTGTGATTACTTCGACGAAAATGATCCATAATGCTTCCAGAGATGACAAGGTTTGTTGTTTCCGTTCGGGCGGCTCAAAATGACGCAGCGCATGCTTAGATAACTGCGGGCGCTTAGTAAGAATTTGATGCAGTAGCCCACGTAGGACAGCGAGAGCTGTGTTGTGTTTCTCGTTCTGCGCACTGCAGAAAAAAAATATGAGATCAGTGTTTTCTTGGTGCGCTGCATGCTTCTCAAGCTCCTCAGTAAGGAAGATGGAGAGCATAGTTTTGCCCTTGCCAGGCCCACCTGAGATCCACAGCAGGCGTATGTCGTTGGTGCTACCGCTATCGCCATGACTACCGCCGTTTAGCCAGGCGCGATATTTCACATCGTTTCTAATCCACTCGCATGTGCTTGGAACTCTAGTGCCTTTGGCGGTGATCAGACTCTCACGGTCGACGTGGGGATCGGTTACGAAGAGAGCGTCGCGACACTGCAAAGCCGCTCTCTCCTGCGATTCTGTGAGACCGACTTGTTAGTATTGAGAAATTATAGGACAGTAATCTGCTTGTACCCTGTGGAGATTTGCGGTCAGCAAAATATACATTTTGCGCCGACCCCACGAAGGCTTGCGAGCCGTTTTGAGTGGAGACCCCATTGATGTGTTGATTGAGAATCCGGTCTTCAGCCATCCGGCTAGGCTGTCCGCGACATAAATTTACTTTTTGAGATCCTGTAAGAGATGTGTTTGTGCTTGTATTTTGCTTTGTTTGTGAGATGTAGAGAATTAGGCTGCAGGTCCAACGATAAACAAGGCATTGCGGCGAATATATGGGGTAAGGGTAGCAGGCTTAACCGGTCGAGGAGCCTATGAGCTTCGCTGTTCTACGCCCCCAATATGCAGCCTGTGAGCATTGCCAACTCAGCTTTAATGAGGAGGCCTCTAATACGCAAGCGAGATCAACAATCCTCGTAAAAGGATCTGGGCTACCTGCATGCGAAAGGACCAGCCTTCCACCTTCATATACATCGCTCGAGCCATAACAATTATCGAGACGACACTAACAAGAAATATCTATAGTGCTATTCACAATGGATCCTTTCAGTATCACAGCTGGTGTCATTGGTATCACTAGCGCCGCCACAACTAGCATCGTGCAATTGCGCAGCCTCATCGACAGTCTCTCAGAGGCTAAAGATGAAGTCGCAGACATCACCACTAGCCTAACTAACATAGAGCGCCCACTAGCTGCGCTTGAACGACTCAGCATTTCAGATGGGGCTACTTTAAACGCTTTTAAGGAGGACATGTGTAAAGTTGGTGTCGCCGAAGCGGTCAACAGCTGCGGTGATGCCTGCAAAAGGTTTCAAAAGGATCTAACAAAGTGGACGAAGCATTCCAGCGCGACGAAGCTCTCTCTTCGGGACCGCTTTTCCGTTGGTGTTTGGAACAAGGAAAAGATCCGTACGTTTCGCACACAGCTACAGTGGTGCGAGACTACTTTGCATTTTGCTGTTACAAGCACGCAGCTGTAAAGATGCCTCAATCTCACCCCAGAAAATGCACACTAATTTCGCAACAGTATGATTCAGTTACGATCTGAGAAAGCGTCTGAAGCCGATCGTGAAAGTGTGAGGAACCAATTGCAGACTCTCGAGACAAGAATCAAGGAACACATCGACCTCACCAAACATCAGCAAGACGAAGCTCAGGAGAGAAAGCGCGAGCTAGAAGAGGAGCCTGAGGACGAGGAAGATGGGGGTGCTGGTCGACTATTAGCTATCCAGGAGGTTGAAAAGCAATCACGCTTACTCGAGGCCGAGCAGGTGTCTTCCGGAACGGTCTTCTCGCAGGTACAATCCAAACGGAGTGGCCAGGATATTAGAAACATTATCACTTCAGCCAACTCCAGGACATATGTGGGAATGCCAGCGAGCGTAGTAGGAAAAATCAACCAGCGCATCTCAGAAGTCAGAACTGATGGAGGCTCAACAGCTTTTGTGGGTATATTTTAGCTGATGCTCATTACGGGACGCAGGAATGATAGATTGAAATGTTTAAGATGAATCATATCTGATGTGACAGTTCGGGTGCCACATAGCTCTTCGCACTGTAGCTCATCGCATCCTCTCTCTTTGATTGCCGTGAACGCTTTCATATATTGGATTAGAGAAGCAAGACGAGAGAAAGACAACAGCAGGCGGTGAAAGGTAACGACGCAGTAATGCGTCTACCAGCAAACAAAACAGAATATTTCAATGCGAGAGAAAATAAAATCAACCCAGTTTTTAAAACATGCCGAATTCATACAAACCCACAACTCTGACAACACTACCCCCTAGTAAACTCCCACACAACCTTACCCACCAACAACCAGAACCATCATTCCATCTCCAACACTCTCCTTTCGACACCCCCTGCCCCCCCCCCTCTCTCTACCCACCATCTATCCTGAATCTAAATCCACCCCACACCCATCAACCTTCCCACTTTCCGCGGACTACTACCAGCACCACCACCGTCACTCCCTCTCCATCCCGTCCCTCCACCAACCCAAAAAACCCTCAAGCCGCGCGTTCCCCCGTTCACCACAATCACCACAATAGCAATCAGCACCACATTTCACCCCCTTTATCCCCACCATCCTTACCATAACCGACAACAAACGAAATCCCCTAGTCTATCATTCTACTCCGCGGAGCCCCATCGCTCTGCCGCCCCAGATCCGCGCTACTACCTCCTTACTAGTCCCCACTGTGGCTTGCATGCGGGAAAGAAAGAGAAAAAAAAGGAAATATGGGACATCACTATCGCGTGGATTGTATGGGGCGAGGCTGAGGCATAATTTTATGAGCTGGGCTTTGTGTAAAGTGCGTGATTGGGTATGAGGAATGGTGATAGCGAGGTAGATCTCGATTGAAAATATTGGAGGCGAGGCGAGTGTGGTGCCGTGTATAGTTAGTACTTAGCGGTCGGTCTGACGAGGCTGTGTATGACAAACTTACCCGAGGCTAAGATGTCACGATTGGAAAGGTGCGAGTACCACGGTATGCGCATGGGAACTGTGATTAAGCTGGTAAGAAAGGGGGGGGAGGGGGAGGGACGGAGTGCAGTGGAGAAGTGTCGAGTCGCCAAACCAAGATAGTAGGAGTAAAGTAAGTTCACCTGGATACTAGCAATGACGCAAATTTCTCACTTCACACAAAACTACTTAGACTAGACATGTTCACATCATGTATACAATCGTCGCATCAACTAACCTTTATTCATTTCATCCCATAACTTCTTGTTTTAAAAAAAAAGCTCGACATAAGAAAACGCCAGTTCGCTATGCACCCCACCAGTCATGACGTTGATAATGCCAGTATCCCACCTCATAAAGAACCCCTTTGAAGAAAAATGGAAAGAAGGAGATCAAAATATGACGTCATCCGCTCATTTCAATTACTTCACACGGAGACGCTTGCCCGCGGGCTCAGCATCCACGCGCTCGACAGCCGTAGTGGTCGACGCTACCCAATTGTGTTTTTCGGTACCGATGCTCTGCGAAGCAGCTTTTTCGCTAGAAGCCTTTGGTTTATTGTCATTGCCATCGTCATCGTCATCGTTTGACTTCTTGAGCTGCCACGGTGCCTCGATGGACAAGGAAAAGATCTCTTTGTCTGATTTGCGGCTCGAGGCCCGTCTCTTTTGCGATGCCTGTCCTTCGCTCGATTCGTTCTTGGGCAGGGGACTCTTGGGATCAGAAGTATTGCTAGTCTCTGCCGATTGTTTCTCCTGCTCTTCGTCCTCAATTTCCTCGGTGTAGTTCCACATTAGGTTGATTTCACCACGGACAAGAGCGGTAAGCCAGATGCTGCCGAGCACACCAGGGACCAGGTAAAGCAATGCGGGTTGTGCATGGTTCCAGATCATCATGACGCCGAGGGTAGCCAGCAGGCCCAGTATATAGCCAACTAAGCCAGCATTGAAGTATGTCTTTGGGAATGTAAAAGGAGCCTCTGTCTCGGCGCTCGTCTTGGCAGCAACCCAGAGTGGCCGGCCTGTAAGGGAATGCGTCCAGAAGTAGTCGCTCCACCGTCCAGTTAGCGAGTAGTACGTTGGCTTTTCAATAATTTCTTGGCCTTCTCCTGCAACAGCGGGTCTGCGCGTTTGGCGACGAAGGTAGAAGAGATACAAATCAAAACGCAAGGCAAGACCAATCATGATGCCGGGCAAGACGACATCACCGAGACCGAGCATGGCGTGCGAGGGGACTGAGGTGGGGTCGTCGGCAGCAGCGGGTCGTGGGAACATGAGCTTGATGGGAACATCTAGTGACTTTGCTACAGTTACCATCATGGGCCTGGAGTATGTGTTAGCCACGTTTGGAATGCCGTAAACAAGGTGCCTTACGTGAAAAAGACAAAGTAGATGTCGTAGAAGAAGAGTGCGCCCAAAATCAGACTACCCGTGGCAAATGTCGTGGGCGACATGAGCTGCAAGGCACCGTATGAGAATCCAAAGCCCAGCAAATTTGTCAAATACCATGGCTTATCAACCAAGTTAAAGTAAGCCACAGTTGCAAGCCCAGTCAAAACGCCGACCATTCCGTGAGGACCCATCTTGAATTTGCCGGCGAAGACGCGATGCATGTAGAGTTTCAACGTCCATTTGTTGCCTGGCATGGCTCGATCAGCCCAGAGCAAACTCCTCGCCCCTTCAGACAGTGGGATCTTGGAAAGGAAGCCTGGTAGAGGCGTCGCGAGTGGGTGCTTGTCCTGAACATCACCAGCTACCGGAGCCGCCTTGGCCGTCTCACCGTCAACGTGGTATAGCGCTCGGCCAACGACATGTCGGCGTGGGTATATTATGGAGTGGCCAATGTCAAGGAGGTCAGTGACTAGTCGCGAGACGGAGAAGACACCAAAGACGGCAAAGTAGGCATTGAGGATTTTGTTGAGCAGGGCGGGGTCCTTCATCCACTTGAGAAGAAAGTACAGCGAAGCCAGGGCAGTCCCTGCAAAGAGAGGCATAAGAAGGGCGTCCGTGGGCGACAAGCCTTCCATAATGCGCTGCTCGTCTTCGTCGTCGTCTTCCTCCTCCTCATCCTCCATATCGTCATCGCTTGTATTGGACCTCTTTTTTTTCTTAGCGGGCTTCGCAGCGGTCGACGGGCGTGTGAGCGAGGCGTGTGCGCCGGCGTATATTGGGAAGAGAGCTGAGACGATCAGGTGGATGTAGGTGGGTAGCATTGGCTGCATCAGCGAGAACTCGTAGGCAGCCTTTCCAAGGATTTGGGCCCATAGGCCCGGATCCGAGTCGGCCATGCGGCGCTGGTATGGGATCGCTGTGCTGCTATTTTTCTTTTCTAGTCGCACTGTTCAGCAAAGACGGAGAGGACGAGTGATGGCGATCGCAGACGTGTAGATGATAATTATGGTGGGTGGTATGTTTCAACTCTCCAGAAGGGATAGAAGCGTAACGTGGGGTGAAGGATAGGCGCAAGGGCGCAAGAGAGCCAGGAGAAGAAGACAAAAGGAATAAAGGCCGACCAGAGTTGGACAATGGCTACTGCCGGCTGCGACAAAGAAGCAATGGAGAGTTGATGGTTGTTCTAGCGGCGCGGCTGGAGTTCCCCAGTGACCAAGTAGCCGTTTAGCAGCGGACCAATCAAGCGACACACCACTCCCCACTCGACCGATCGCCAGCCGTGCCCCCAACCCCCGGCCTTAGATCGGCGCGTCTGCATGAGCGGGACCTTGCAGGCGGTCGAGATGCGACTCGCTGGATTGTGTGGGCGGCCTGCTGTGCCTCATGGTTCATCACAATGCGTTGAACCAGGTGCTCGGGATGCTAAAAAAGGCTTGGTGGGCAAAATGGTTGCATTGTGTGCCTAAAATATACGGGTTTTCTCCACCTCTCCTAGTTACTATGCTCACCACCGACTAGCTCTGCCTTGCAATCTGCAACTTCGTCCTTTGTGCTATCGACCTGACCATGTACAAATTCCTCAAGTCCTTCCTCCTCCCTTGAAATACAATGCGTTGTGCGGGTCGTGTATATTCGTCATACACCAAATGTTCCAAAACGCCAATCCATGGAACAAGGTAAGCGCTGAACCGAAAATGGAGCAAAAGCCAACTATGACAAAAGAAAAGAGAAAAAAAAAGCCCATGTGATGGCTAGCTTCAACGCCAAATCCACAATTACAAAACGATATTTCGTGTAAAGAGAATAAAAAAAACGACAAGTGAGAAGCAGGCAGAAAAGTCGCCCATAAGCTGAAGCCAGACCAGCTGACTGAGAACATCCTGGTTAGTGTACACGACGACAAATGCCCACCCCCAAACGCACACGCTAAGAAACAAAGAATATGCAGGAAATGGACAAAGGAAATTCTTAGCAAGGCGTAAGCCGGGTTGAGGCGTTGAAGTCTCGCAGCATGTCAAACGACATGCCGTCGACAGTGACACGCTGTTGTGACTCGACGTAAACGTCGTGCGAACTGCCGAGTGCACTTCCATCCCAAGGCGACATGGCACTCAGCCTCTTGCTGCGTAGGTGGGGAGGCGTCACAGCCGCAATGACCCGCTCCTTCATTTGTGGCGTGATGGCGGATGGTCGCTTGCAGTCAAAGTATGACAGTGAGACGGACGACGAGGTAAACGATGGTGCCGATGTAGCCGACAAGGATGTCAGCTGAGGGTGAGGGGAACACGATGACGGGTAGTGGTCGTAATCCGGCTGGCCGGATGAGGAACTAGGTTGCGCTGACTGATACGGAAACTTAAATGCCTTGGCGGCATCAGCCTCGGATTGGTCCTCTAGCGGGGTCGACGAAAATAGAAACGACGAACCATTGCCCGAGTCGGATGTTTGGTAGTAGCCTAGTACTGAAGGCGTATGGCTACTCGTCTTGGAAAGACTGTCCTCAAGAGAAAGAGCGTACTCAGTCAGGGCATGCGACTCGTCGTCCGTGTCTTCGTCAGTCGAGCTCCATGCTGAAAACTGACTCTTGACCGGTGCTCGAATTGGGGGTATCTCAATGATGCGTGGCTTCTCGACTGGGCGCCGTACCGATGGGCATGACGACGAGCGAGACGACTGTGTAGCAAAGGACAGATCCGGACACGAGCGAGGTGACAAAGGCAATGAAGAATCCGAGCCGGGCTGGTAGGTCGGTATTGATTTTAGCTGGTTCTTGATGAATTCGGCTAAGGTGGCGGAATAGTCTCCTAGCGTGGGAGAAATGTTCCGGACAGGTCCGCCATCGTCACGTGGAACGACGGTTGAAGTGCTTCGGTCAGTAGCATCTGAAGGGATACGTGAGTGCGAGGGCGCGTGTCTGCTAGATCCAAAGGGAGTAGGTTGTTCTTGAGGTGTGGGGATGGCCGCGAGTTCTTGCAGGAACTTGATATGGTCTCTGGGGTCAAAGGGTCGGCCGCCGTCCTCGTCGAGCGACTGGTTGCGGCGGGCTCGGCGTTTCCGGACAGCAGCTCTGCTCTCAGCCAGGATGAGTTGGGCCTCTGGTGTTGTGCATCCAAGGGCGTCGATGATGGGAAATGAGTTGCTTCTTTGTCGCTGCATGCTGTAGCGGGGGCTGGCGGTGCGAGCAACAGGCGACGACTGGCGGGATTCCATGGTGTTGTGCATGTGAGGGAAGTAAGTATGGATGACGGCGGGATGAGCGACTGATGATTTTAGTGCATGGCCGTAGCAGCCGTGGAACGAGTGGTATATGTGTAGTAGCTGGTGGTGAGAGGGCGAGGGCGAGGGCGAGGGCGAGTGTGAGTGTGAGTATGAGTGTGGGTGTAAGTGCGGGCCAGGCGAGGTGAAGCACAAAAGAAGCGGGAGTGTGGAGGGGGGGGTGCAGTATGTATGTATGGATGGATGGATGATGGATGGGTGGATATGGGAGGGCAGGGAGTGATGATTCGAGAAAAAAAGAAGGAAGCGATACTGCAGAGATAGCAAGTGTACTTGAGAAGCGGGAAAAACGGGCATGGCTCATTGGGCGCAGACGAGGTCAGGAGGATATGAGTGGTCGGCGTCGCCTTTGACTGCCCAGAGGGCATTAGCTCGTCGCAGCCTGGACGGCACTCAAGCCGACGAAGGAACGCAAAAGAGTTGGCATGGCCACATGACGTTTACTGACTTGGAAGAGCGAGCATGGGTTTCGTATCGCACGGCCCCAGCCAGGGCAAAAAAGAAGGACGAACTATCGTGTACCCCTGGATGGCGTATAACCCTACTGCCGGATCCCGCTGGCGTTTCGTGCCTAATGGCCAATCCGGGTCGACATGGTTCATAGCCTTGTCATGCGCCCTCACGCAACGTCATGGCAATGGCACCAGCAGCCCTTTGTCGTCTGGTCACACACTGTACGCGTATTGTAGCAGCCGCGCCTGGCCATGAGAAGTATGGGTGATGGCAACGTCTGACCTCGAGGCGTGGGCAGCTAGATGTGCAGCACCAGTACCAGCACCAGCACCAAGCGGCACTGTGACTGTTTACCACGTACGTACTCTACTCACTGCGCTACATACACACAGCAGCCGTCCGGTCTCCACTACCCACTGCGCCAGTGCCCAGTGCCAGCACCAGCACTAGCAATCCGCGTGCTTTGTGTAAGGCGATCAAGGAGATCGACGGCACCCTTGCTTTTTGCCTTCGACCAAGTGTTTCTCAGCGGCCTGCAGCCTGATCAGCCCTGCTGCTGATGCCCTCTGCCTCTCTGACTGGCGGGCTGCCCGCCGAGCTAGCGTTTGGGGGATACATCGATCAGCGCCGTCCACGCAACACAATCGGGCGGCATGGCGATAGGGCGTGCACGGCAATGAGTCGCGCCATCCTATCCCATCTCCCCCTCCGCAACAGTGAAAGGGTCTTTTTTTTTTGCATGCACATGCTGCAGCCAGTTGCAGTCCAAGTGTGGTGCGGGCATACAACCTGCAAGGTACTGCTGCGCGGCTCGTCGTTGCCCACCGGCATGCAGCTAGCACGGGCGCCACTAGGCCAGCCGTGCTCTCATGAACTTGTAATGGCCATGGGAGGAAAAAAGGACAAGGAACCGAATTCGGCCCGACCGGAGGTGGCGCCAAGGGCCGCAGAGGCTGAGCACCGCATTTTTGCAGCGCGAGACCCGCGATGCAGTTGGGCATGGTGGAGAGGAGAGAGAAACGAGGCGCATGGCTGAGTGGATTGATGCCTATGCCTGCCTTTCCCGGCAAACCCAAGTCCAAGTGCCGCCTCGCCGCCACAATCCCATCCACACCCACCCACCCACACACCCACCCACACACCCACCCACACACACACACACACACACACATGGAAACACGCCCAACGGGCCGGAGCAGCCTCCGCCGCAACCTCTTCAAAGAACTCCCAACTGCCTGAAACATGGCCATACTGCAGCATTCACGCTCCATCTCAACGTGCGACTTGCTAGTTGCCCATATCCAAATCTACACTTGGCTGCCACTCTGTCGCCTAGCCGGCATCCCCCCATGTCCCTGCAAGCGACCCCTGCGCTACTAACTAAGTATTATTCACCCTCCCACGGCCTCCCCTGTGCATTCGGTTGAGTCACGGTCCTTGCGACAGCTTTGGTCACAGAAACATCAACACCACGCTCTCGTTGTTTTTTATTCTCCTGCTTGACATCATCATGAATAGGAATAGACATCAATGCAGCCACCCTGCCTGTCGGGCCATGTGCATCACCAACCCAAACTCTGTTCCTCTTGCCACAACAATCCCTTCACACACACACACACACCGGAGCCCTCTTATCACGATCGGGCTGTTCCATCTACTCCCACTGGCTCAGATTGCCTCTCTTCTGTCCGATGACTGCTGCCCTCAACATGTCTCTCGCCCGTTTCACCACCTCTTCCAACATCATCAAATCCAGCTGCCGCTTCCCCATGGCCTTTTGCGACTAGAGTACGAACATGCACTGCACCACACCTCCCTTTTCCGGCCCGGTTCTTTCTTCATCCATCTAAACACCACCTGTTCTGACACCTCACCACCTTGGCTTTTGCAATTTCGGCCTCCTGTCATGTGCACGGCGACTCCATTCGGCAAAGACACAACCATAAGCACGAGCATCAACACGGGCACCACCACCACCACCCTTCCTTTGCGCATCGCCCCGTTCCCTGAGCCATCAATGCCAACTGACACATCCATTGTCGGCCTTTTTCGTCTTTCGGCCTTATCTTCCTTCTCGTCGTGCGAAGCGCTTACGACTTCTGTCATGGATTACCCTTTACTTAGGCTCTCGCTCTCGTATAGCCCGTTCTCTCGTATTTTGACACCACGTGAACAGTTTTTTCCAGTACATTCCGGTGACCATGCTCATACTACTAGAATTTTGCATGTCGCTCCACATGTCTGACATCTGCCTGGACTAACTCTATCCAACACTGCTAGTCGGTCTCGTCCATTGGCGCACTCTTTCCATTATCGGACACCACACTAAACAAAGCCTCTCGCCTGCAGAATTGACTCAAGTCATCTCAGTCTGCACCAAGATGAAAGCTATTGTTGATTCATCAAGCGACGCACATCTGTTTGTAGACAGTCATTCTAGTGCTTACTTTTGCCACCTCTACGCCGGTCTACTGCCATCCTGCGCAATACAAGTATGCAATACCGCTCGATCTAAGCCACTGTTTCCGATGGCGGCACTTGTAGTTTATATCTCAGTAGCACGCATTGCCTTTGGCGGTCTCATCCAGGCTCCCCCATGTTAAGGATGCAGATCGCAGTTTGTCTCGGGAGACGCACAGAGCTCGCACGCTCCTGACGATCCTCAAGCCATCAACGTTCGTTGCTCAGATAAGACCAGAGCAGAATTGGTGGTTCGACTACGCTGGCTACAAACACGGCTGGACGAAACATCGCCGCCTCTTTCCCGCAACCACCCACAGATTCCCATCGCGGGTGGAGCGGGCCGTTAGTCTCAAAATGCCAGATCGAGAAAGAACCAACGTGTTGTTTCACCTGCTCTACACGTAGTCTTGGTGATGCGCCTCATAGATGTGGCCGGCCCCTGCCACCTCTAAGCTTAGTATTGTCGAGAAGCTTTTCCATTTGAAATGCCTAACATGAACACATGGCCACTATACCTAAAGCATAGACTTTATTGGTTACTCTTCCAGTGTCACAACGAAGCTTGACCACCCCGCTGCATACAACTGAGCAACACGCTTACCCCGCAAACTTTGAACTTCGTGGAACGCACTATAAAACCTCCGCTCTTCTAGTCCAAGCTGTCCCATACTGTTATCTCCGGCGCCAAACACTACCCTTTCCTTGGCCGATGAACCATTTCCAGACTCTGCTGCTACCAAGATATGTCCATGGCCAATTGCCACTTGATACACGCGAGCCTCTTTGCCATTGATCCTTACCTCGAGGCACTTTACAAATTCATCCGCATCCTCCTCAGTCCCAATTCCTGTACTCGGCGTATGCCCATCAGCATTCCCGTTCAGCACGTCCATGTCGCCCGTTGAACCCGGACACGCCTGACCCCACACAAACAGCTCACCCTCTGCACTCAGCGCCGCACTCATGTAGCCCCCAGACGCCACTCGCTCAACGCACGTATGCTCCAGGTACGGTATGGCACGGAACTCTGACGCGCCGTCGAGGCAAAAGGGCCGGCCCACACAAGCTTGATATCTCCCGCCGCTGCTTGACGTCCACACAGGTCCACCGGAGGAGCCCAAGACTGTGGTCGTCGTCGCGTTGCTAACTACTTGCAGCCCCGAGCGCGAGTCATACGGCGCGCGTTTCACTTGTACCGCCGACGCCGCCGCCAACGCCCCGGCGGCAAGCCAGACGCGCAGCTGCGCCATGTCTTGGACTGTTGCTAGGTAGTAGCATGCGTTGTTTGCAATGCCCGACTTCAGACTCAGTAACAGCGCCTCGTCGCTTTGGATCGCGATATGAGTGATGTTCAGAGTGTCGGTTTCGCTACTACCATTACTGTTATGCTGCGGTATGGAGTAGCTGTGTACGTCATGCAATCCTTCATTGTGACTTTGACTTTGCATGTTGTTGTTGTTATTGTTGTTGTTGTCGTCGTCGTCGTCGTCGTCGTCATCTTCTTCCGCAACAGCAGTGAATAAGACAATTTCTTGTCCTCGGCCTTCACCGCCCAAATTGAGTATGTAGCCTTGAAGCCCATGATGCATGGTACTACCGAAGAATATCACCGTATCCCCCCCTTCTTCTTCTTTGTCTCCTCTAAGCGCTCTTGCAAGTGCATTGCCTCGGCTGGCCTTGTGCAAATAGTCTTGTTGCGACCGGCTTAGACCTGTGCCGTGGTATCGCAAATACCATGTCTGCTGCTCCTCGCTACTGCTGCTGCTACTGTCGACATTGCAATACGCGAGTAGCACGTCGCACCATGAGGCCCAGAGGATGCGTATGCTGCCTGCTACTGTGCTTGGTACTATAGCGTCGTCGTCTTCTAGACTGCTGTGGACCGTGCTAGTAGATCCGAAAGCGTGCAATCCCATGGTCGTCGGGGATTTCTTTTTTTTCGTTTTCTTTTACTCGAATTTTTTACTTTATTAAATCTCCGTAGTTAAATTTCCGGAGGATTTCGAGGTGGAGACGCGACGGTGATGGTGATGTGCAAAAGTTGATAGTAGCTTGAAAAGCTTAAATCTGGTTTTGGTTGGTTTGGTTGGTTGGCTTTGTTCGCCTCTCTTTTTTGTTTTGTTTTTCCCTAATGGTAGAGTTTGACCGACAATACCTTACTTAGTCGCATGAGCTTGGCATTACTCTTATTTTTTCTTACGGACGTACCCTTTACTCACGCTGTTCTTGTTCGCGAGTTTTTTTTTTGCTTGCACTCGACTCATAACTTCTTTGTTTTTCTTTTCTCGGCACTTTTTTTGCAAATCTCGCACCTCGTGTCTGTTTATTTTGCCTAAACGAGGCGAAATGCGAATCCGAAGTGGGAAATCTTATTTTCCCCATACCTATGCGTTTTTGCGGAGCAACTTATTCAGGGCAAACTCGACATTTGCCGATTCGCGAATACGCAGATAGACGTCCCGTGCTTGTGTTCCTCAGGCACCCCGAAGACAGACGGGCACGTGAACAGGGGAGGGTGGCGGTCGGCTCCCTTACTATAGAGTTTCCCTGCATGTCTGGACTAAGGGAACTAGTTGGTCCTGTTTTTGGGTTTTTGGGTTTTTGAACCCCCGCAAGTACTTGAATGCGCAAGCCACAATTTCACATGTTAGGACTTTTTTTTATTGTAGGCTGTGTGTTTGGTTGAGACGGAACTATCTGCTCTTTGTTTCTTGGGAAACGAACTTGTACAGTCGCATTATATCGTCTGATGCAATTAATTGACGGGTTTTGCTTGACAGACAAAGACAGGTTATGCACGTGTCGTCATACCCTTTTTCTCGTGATTAATTTCTTCGCCATGCTCTTGGATCTGGCATGGCAATCTTTCTTTTTTAGTCATGCCCGAGCAAGGGGGGCTAGTGGGGCGGGCCTGACTTTTGTGCCTTGCATTAGCGCGATAGCAACCTTGTTCTATGGGTGGGGGTATGAACATGGTAGAATACGAGGGTTAGAACCAGTTTTTTTGTCGTCTCCCTTTTTTTGGGTTGACCTTGGTATTAGCGGATTAAGCGCCGGCTTGTGTTTTTGTGCACATGAGATGTCAGGGTGCATACAGTAGCGAGATTGCGGAGAGGGATGGAAGGGGAAGGTAAGGCTTTGTTGCTGGGAAATGGGAATGTGGACGATTTTGGATTGCGGTGTCGGAGGTTTCTCGTGTATGTGGGTGGGTGTTTGCTCGTACGCTTCTGAGAAGATGAGTAATCTAATGTTAGTGGTATTCACTGAACCGAGGCTTTTGGATAGAGTACTTGGTGAAAGCGCTATACCAAGTATCACTATAGACATTGAAGTGAGTCTTTTGCCTGTTTGCTCTTTGAGCTTATTTGCTGTCCTTGGTCAGATGGCTGTTTACATCGACTACAGACTTCATGCCAAACATTGTCTTGCTATATTATTGGTCCTTATGATGCAGTAGACCCAGGCAGCACAATGTCCAGTTTAATTCGCAATTATCGATAAATTACCACAAGTCTATGGTCACATGATTTCGCGTAGAGGACGTGTCAGCGCCAATCCTTAGTCTCGCTCTTGATTGGTGGCTGCCTGCTTAGCCAGGCAACGACGCGCCTTCTAACCCCGATGAGCGATGGCTGCCTGAGAACCCCGCTTTCATGTCGTTAGATTGACCCTTGCATCGTATATTCAATTGTAAAAGGATACAATCAAGCAGTTTGTAGAGTTCTGCAGTTTGCCAATGCAGATACTTAAATCCACGTTGTAGTACCATTCTCCCTCACTTCTCCAACCTATCCACTTTATTGCATTGACGTCACATCCCGCCATTGCAGAAATCCTCAGTCCCATCATGAAGGGGCAACAGCAGATATCGACATCAATGGAGCTTCCTCCGCTCCCAGCCAAGCATGACGACTGGATCGCGCATGTTTCTAGTCATCCAGACAAGCCATTGCCTGAGTTGATTGCTCCATATCAAGAATACGATGCCAAACTACGCAAGGTCTTTGCCCAACAACCAGAACACCCAGCATTAGCAATTCCCAATGTCGTCCCTATATTTTCAGGGCACGAGCATGAGTTGAGAGTTCGTGCTCGCAACCTCGCAGACGAAACCGAAGCTGAACGCCAACGTTATATCATGCCTCTCAGCAAAGCGGAGCGTAAACCCAATGGCTCTCCAGCGGTCGTGACATCGCTCAGCGACTTCCAAACAAACTTTCAATTATTCTCCGAGTCATCTATTGTTGACTTGGACTGGTCCAATGTTGTGGCTGCAGGCAGTTCTGTTGTGACATCCTTATTGCCAGTCTCTGAGCAGCATAAATCTTCCAAGCGAGCCCTCCGAGAGTACTACCATCAAAATTTGGCACCTGCTTCTGATGTCGATCTCTTTCTCTATGGCCTCAGTGAGGAACAGGCTATCGAGAAGATCAAGCAGATTGAACAGCGAATCAAGGACTCGATCCTGACTGAGACGACTACGATCCGTACCAAGAACGCCATCACTATCGCTTCTCAGTACCCAACTCGCCATGTCCAAATCGTTCTACGTATCTACAGGTCTATATCTGAGATTCTTACGGGTTTCGATGTGGACTGCTCTTGTGTTGCGTATGACGGGAAACAAGTCTATGCCAGTCCGCGTGCTTTGGCTGCCTTCATGACCCAAGTCAACACGATCGATTTGACCCGTCGCTCTCCCTCGTACGAGAATCGCCTTTCCAAGTACGCGCGCAGAGGGTTTGAAGTTTACTGGCCGCTTCTCGATCGCTCTCGCATTGACCCGACGCTGTTTGAACGTTCGTTTGGGCGAACGCTTGGTCTTGCCAGGCTGTTGGTTCTTGAGAAGCTGCCCAGCAGCACTGCTCGAGAGGCGTACGTCAACGAGCGTCGCACTGAGCGTGGCAGACCGCGGATCGATCAACGGCCTACACGAAAGCTACGGGGAAATATGAAAGACATGCACGAAGAGGATGTTGCAGAATGGGTGGAGACTGATGAAGTCAGTAACTACCATACCTTCACTATTCCATATGGGCCAAAATATTCTGCACGAAAGATTGAAAGGTTGTTGTACGCGAAGGACCTGCTACTCAATGCAGAGTGGAACCGGCCAAAAACCCGAGAGACTGCACTGCATCGCCACCCCGCATTCTTTGGGAATGCGACTGATGTAATAGTGGATTGTTGTGGCTACTGTCCTAAGCCAGTCACGCCTGAAGAAGAAGAAATTGCAGCAGAGGAGGGAAAGATCTATGTATCCGGGAATCTGTCATTCATGAAAGATGACCCGGGACGCCAGGCTATTGGGTCATTCCATCCTCTTACCGATGACGACTGGACGGATATGGCCTATGTTGGCAATACTGCAAGACTATGTCGCGCGATTGTAGACTGCGATCTTGAACATGTCCAGGATTGGCTGAGCCAAGAAGGTGCTGATCCCAACCAGCGTGACTACACCGGCCGTACTCCACTTCATCTGGCAGTCACGACATCCACACTGGAGGTTGTACAAGCTCTCATTGATGCAGGTGCTCGGCTTGTCTCCCGCCTGTTTGACGGAAAGACTGCTCTTCATCTCGCGGCTATGCGTGGTGAAACCGAGATGGCCAGAGCACTTCTTACCAGGAGCGAAGCCAATGAAGAAAAGGAAGCAGAAAAGGAGGCTTTTAAGCAGACCCAACACAAAGTTCCAAAAGAAGGCAGTAATGTGGTCTCTGCAGAATTGGAAGAGGAAAACGACACGGATGAAGACGAGGCCAATTCTCTTGATGAAGAGTCTGAGAATGACGACGCGATGACGGAAGGCTCTTTCGTAAAAATCAGGAGCCAGGAAACGCAAAGTCAGAACACACTACCCGAAGACGTAGATGGTGAACCCGATATTTATGACATCAACGTGTTGGCCTGGGATGCGCCAGTATCCGCACTGCATCTTGCCATTGCAAACGGCCATGTGCACACGGTGAAAATGCTCGTCCAAGACTTTGGAGCTGATGTGTTACTGCCTATCAAGCTTGTAAACTCCCATGACAAATCGCCGCGGGCTGCAATTCTCCCATTGGTCCTCGCACTGCATCTCCCCCCTGAGAAGGCCAAGGATATGACCAAGTTACTTATCAGTCTTGGTGCCTCGCCAGCTCAAGCAGACGTCGATAACATGACAGCATTGAGCTACTTTGCTGCGTATGGAAAGGACCTAGTGCAAACCATGATTTCATCAAATCGACCTGCAGCAGAACGAGCCGCGAACCATCTTTCTTGGAGTAACAGTGGATATCAACCAGATGTAAAGAGCATCTTGAATACCGCTATAAAAGGTAGTGATCCCGAAACGGTCGAGCTACTGCTAGAGCTCGGGGCCAAACCCGAGATTGATTTCGATACTTATATCTCATCTGTCAAAAGCAATGTTCACATGAGGAGCGACACTGAGAGAAATATGTGGTACTTTAGGGAAGGGTTTGAGCAACCTGTATTCACTGCTCTCCACTCTGATCTGCCTTCGGTAGTCGAAATGCTCCTGGATGCTGGTGCAGACATCAATTGTCTTTCTGAGAGCGCCTGGAGGAAGCGTCATTACCCGGAAAACTTGCAGAATGATGCGGGTACTTTGTTGGACTCGGTTCGTAAGAGGATCAAGTCCCTACGTGTGTTTACGACGATGGGCAAAATCGATGGCGTAGACGGCCAATTGAGTTCCACTGGTTGGACGGATAACATCATCTATTATTCTCAGACTCTGCCAATTCCACTACAAGACGAAGCCCATTACCTTCAACACTACAAACCTGGTACTTACTCTCATTTAGTTGTGAGGAAGCAGATTGAAGACGCTAGGACAAAGTATGAGAAAGACTTGAAGAGGCATCAAGAATGGGTGGAGCCGGAGAAAGAACCAAAGGGTACTGCTGAAAAGAAGGCGGCAGTCGAGTCTTTAGTCGAAGAGTTCGAGGTGCTTGAGCGCCGCTTGGTTGAACGCGGCGCGAAGACCTTGGAGGAGCTTCACCCTGAGCTTGTAGGCCCGGAAATTCCACCACCCAATTATTATCACCACTACCGGGAAAATCCAAAGCCATGGAGCCAGAACCTGACCTTCCGTCTTCCGGATTTGACAGAGGAGCGAAGGAAAGCTTACGTCGAGCTATTTGAAGCATGCTGGAAGGGTGATCTCGCAACAATCAGGATGCTCACCCTAGCTATCTGGGGTGACAACCAAACTCCTCTTCAAATTGCCGTTAAGGATTCAGAGGACTTTTCACCGTTATCTGTTGCTTTGCTACGCAAGCACTATGACATTGCAACAGCTATCCTCAAGATTGCGCAAGCGCAATACAGCTCAGAGCAAAAGCCCTCGGCTAGACACATAATACAACAAGACGACGAAGATGACAGCAGCACCGATGACGATCAAGATGAAATCGAGATTTACTCTGAAATTGTGAACGACCAATTTACAATTGAGAATGTCGGTGAGGTACAAAGTCAAGTCAGAAGCACGATACAACCCCTAGAGATGATCAACTGGGGTTGCCCTATGTTTGAGTTTATCGCGAATGATAGCTCGTCATCGAGGCTGGAGATATTAGGTGGCGACCAAAGTCAAGAAAATCGAGGAAAAAATATTGGTCAACCTCGCAATCTGTTCCAATTCGCAATATACTTGGACGACGCTAATTTGTTCGACTTCTTGATTTCAAAATGCGAAGAATATACCCGACTCGACTCGTCTGCCTCCGATGACACCAGTCCAAAATTCTTTACTTTCTCTGAAATCGACTTCCTGTATGCGATTCGTCTTGGTCGAGTGCAACTGCTTGAGAAAATTATCAAGTCTACTGGAGCAGGATTTCCACTAAACGATCTTGTCCAAAAGAGTGGTATTGAGATACCCATGAAGCCAAGGTACTACCAAGGACTCTCTGTTCATGGCAAGAAGCGAGCAGATTGGGCAAACGCTGGAAGAGATACCAGTGACAAAGTTCGTGACATGCAACATCCACCATTGCTGTGTGCGGCTCATTGTGGGAACTTGCAGAGTGTCGAGTGGTTCTTGAGTGATTCTCCGTTGCGTTGTTATTTGCAATTTGCGGATAGTCATCGCGACGACGTTCGGATTCAGAATCTCGGAAAAACCAAGGGTGGGCTTGAGGCATCCATTACCAAATGGCTCGGTCTGAACTCTCACTTGCTACTACACTGTGCCGTGCTGAGCCAGAAGAGTGAGGAAACTTTGTACCTGCTTCGGCAACTGTGCAAGTCCCACCCTGAAGTTCTCGAAAAACGTTCGGTAAACGGTATGACACCCCTGCATCTCGCTTTCGCTCTCCATCGTGTCGAAATGGCCAAGATTCTTATAGAAGCCGGCGCTGATCAAACAACACGGAACAACGAGGGAGACAACATTGTTCACTCCATACTGGAATTCTATCAGGCTTGCAAAGTTAAAACCAGCGTCATTCGTGAGATGTTGGACTTGATTGATACTCGTCTTATTCCTAGCTTGTTTCTCGAGCGAACTCAGAGCGCGCCCGGTGCAGCTACGCCGCTTGCACGTTGGGTTCATGTCAATGTACAGAGTCGGGAATATAGCTTTGACAAGGAAAAGCACGAGGAGACCCTTAAGCTGTTGCTTGAGTTCAGCAAAGGCGAGGATCTTGGGATCATCAATGGCGATGGAGATACCCCTGTCCACGCTGTAGTCAGGTACCGTGCAGACACATTGCTACGCGTCATGCTGGACCAACGCCCCCAAACCCTCTTCTTCGAAAATGCATCGGGACGCACCCCATTCGAAATTGCAGAAGATTCTTATCTTTCAGAAAAGGTCTTCAGTAATCCGCCACCACTTTCGCCCCCTCAGCGGCTTGCAGATCCGAGACAATTCGGTGCATTATATTACAGGCGCAGAAACGCCAAAGGCATACTTGGAAGGGACCCAGAATCGTTTATTGAGAGCCCCCGAGAGCATCGCTCCAGCATTACGGAATTATTGCAAATTTGCAAAGACAGTGCTGCACAGCAAAGCCAGGGTCGAAAGAGAAAACTGGTTAGTCTGGTTGAAGCCAACGAAGTTGCAAAGAGGCTTGCGGCGAGGACTGGAACCCGCTATGTGCGTGCTCAACGAGATGAACAGCAAGTTATAGACGGAGAGGATGAGGAGAAGACTACAAGGTCGGACGAAGTGACTGACTGGCTCTCTTTCGAGCTTAGATGATTTCCTTTGCTGACATGGTGGTGCAACTATTAAACAATGTAGTTAGTATTTCTTATGTAGTGCGCAGACAATGAGGTTCTAACGAAGTTGTTGGCGTAACAATATATACTTTTACTGGTAAATTTTAATTGTAATCATGCATTACCACTTGATCGTGTCAACATATCACGGCAGTCCAACGCCAGAAAACTCCGCACAAACCTCCAACAACCTATCCTGCGCCTTCTCATCCTCCGCAGCCTCCAGCGGCTTTCCCTCCCGCTTACTAGGATGAAAATAGCACCCACTCTTCTTCGCCGCCTCCTCTTCCTCCCCTACCGAAAGCATAACATAACTCTCAACCGCCGCATCAATACTCTCCGGCGCAGAACTACCCCCCATCTTCGTGGCCACCCACCCAGGATCCAACGCATTACTCCTGACCTCCGGCCACCTGCGCGCAAACGCCTTGGCAAACATGACGTTGTGCAGCTTGCTCGCACAATACGCGGCGTTCTCGCTATACGCCGCGTCTCCGCGCGTCTTCCACAGCGGATCATCCAGCTCCTTCGCTGCAGCATACTTGTGCATTTCCGAGGACAAGAAAACCAGGCGTTTGGGGCGATTAATCAGACAAGTAAGAACGTACGGCGCAATTGTATTTACAGCCGCCAGCGCGGGGATGCCCTCGTTTGTTTTACGCACCGGACCACGGAATAAGCCTGCGTTATGGATTATAGCGTCAAAGCTACCCAATTTGTTGACTTGAGCTGCTAGGTCCTTGGTTTCAGAGAGGCTGGATAGGTCGCCTGTTACGACTGTTTCGGCACCGGGACAGGCGGTGGTGGCGTCGGCGGCGCGCTGTGGGTTGCGGGCGTGTAGGACGACGGTGTGGCCTTGGGATATGAGGCGCTGGGCAGCGGCGAGGCCGAGGCCGTCGGACGAGCCGGTTATGAGGATGCGGGCCATGATTGTAAGAGATGGTAGGAACTAGTGAGTGTGGTACAAGTGTTGCGTGTGGTGTGAATGCATTTTGGAGTCATTAGTATTGGTGTTGATGGGTGGCCTTGCGTGGTGGGAATTGTCCAATCATGTTAACTGGATTTCATGACGTAGTAGCTGGGGCATCAGCATCGAAATGCTACATATTTGCCTGGCCTGTGGGGTATTTTTCGAGGGGGAGGATTCGGGGACTACTGATGGCCGTGTGCTGGGGAGCGGGGCGATTGGGGAACGGGAACTTCTAAGTACCGATCGGAATGTGGTTAACAGCGCACGTCTCCTTTGCTCACTTGTAGCATTCCGCGCAGCACAATCAGAGTGCAGAAAATTTGATATCGAGATGAATTCTTGCCATACATTTCCATATTATCCCAGCAAGCGTCAGCAAACATAGTCTGAGCTTTGCAGCGGTGTGGGACAAAATCGCGCCCTTTCTATGTAGAGGAAGATTTGCGACGGCAGGATGAATACGCCCGAACTCCGTGATATGGATGCCTTGATGAAGACCACGATGTACTAGTGGAGTATATAAAACCTTCTCTGCTGCTCGATGAATATCGTGCTCTAACCACATCTTTCAAGCAGATACTCAATACCACAGCATGGCACTATCCACACCTCCCCAACTCAAAGTCCTTATCAACGGCGCCGGCATCGCAGGCTCATGTCTAGCATACTGGCTCACAAGAGCGCGACTCAATGCTTCCATCACAGTTCTCGAGCGCTCCCCCTCACCCCGAGTAACAGGCCAATCAATTGAGATCCGCGGTACAGCCATTTCCATAGTTGACAAGATGAACTTGCTGCCAGAAGTACTCGCACGCAACACAACCGAACAAGGCACCCGCCTCGTCAACGCCTCCAACAAGATCATCGCCGAATTCGGAAAAGGCGAGGCATTCACATCCGAGTACGAAATCCTACGCGCAGATCTCTGCGGTATCTTCCTCGACGCAACACGCAATGCGCCAAACGTACAGTACCAATACGGCGACCACGTGACCAGCGTCTCGCAAACCTCCGACAAAGTAAACGTGCAATTCCACAGCGGTACCACCGACTCTTTCGACCTCATTGTCGGCGCCGACGGCTCCACCTCGCGAATCCGCTCGATGGTGCTGAGCGACGAGGCGCAGAAGAACTGCTACAATTTCATCGGCCAGTACATTGCGTACTTCAGCATCCCTCGTATACCATCTGATACAAACCACTGGTACTGGTACAACGCACCCAAGGGCCTCGCCCTCATGCTCCGTCCGCACCGCAACGACAGGACAGTGGGATGCTACATGGGCGTCACGACGCCCGCGCACGGCCACCGTGATCCAGCCGCCGAAAAGGCAATGGAAGGGGGACCGCAAGCCCAGAAAGAGTTTTTGACCGAGTACTTCAAGGATGCAGGGTGGCAGGCCCAACGGATATTAAAGGGAATGCATCGTAGTGACGATTTTTACATGAGTCGGTCGGCGTACGTCAAGTTGCCTACGTGGACGAACCACCGCGCTGTGCTGCTCGGTGACGCAGCGCACGCGACGTTTGGGAGCGGGACGACGCTTGCGGTGCAGGGCGCGTATTATCTGGCGGGTGAGCTGGGCAAAGTGCGGAGGAGCGAGGATGTGCCGGATGCGTTGAAGAGGTATGAGAAGGTGTTTAGACCGGTTCAGGCGGTGGATGGGACGTTACCGCCGGGATTCCCGCAGATGGCGTTTCCGCAAACGGAGTGGGGGCTTCGCTTGCGGGATGCGATTGCGTGGGCAGTGGCGAAGAGCAAGGTGTATAAGTTGTTGCCGAATGACAAGCCGGACGAGTCGCAGTTGCCGGTGTATGAGTGGACGAGTATTTAAGAAATTCGTTGTGTTGAGATGAAGCGATGAATTTGTTTTCTCTCAATCTTGCTCTTTCGTAGATATATGCTGTTTTTTAATGATATCTTGTACTTAGCTTCAGCCGTACTTTCTCTGCACATGAATAATAGATATTACTGCGTTGAAGAGAAAACTCATAAATGAGAATACAATATGTTAATCGTTTCCCCCATGCACGTGATACTAGACCTTGAATGATTCTCATCGTGCAACTAGTGAAAGGTACGGTAAGCGAAAAGGCGAATACACAAACAACGACAAGCGTACCTGCGCGAAGGTCTGCTACACGAGTCAGTGACTTCTAAACCCACCTTAGCCTCACACACTTCTCTATGTGCATCAAGCTATTCGGCTAGGTACGCCACTGCCACGCTAAGTAGTTCGTAATGCTGCAAGGTACGAGGCGGGATGGAACGAGGTATGATAGATAGAAGTTTGTTCAAGTTCAGGTCGAGTGCATGGCTCACAAAGCAGACATGATTCCAATTTCAGATTTCTAGATAGAAACGTAACAATGTTGAGATAATCTTTGTACTAACGTTATGCTTACATTAAAGACACGCGGTGCGTTGAAAGGAGGACTGTTCGTAGTAAAAAGAAATTCGCGGTAGCAAATATCATGAATAAGGCATTAATTCGTTCCTCCGTTTTGCGCCCAGAAAATTGTAAAAGTAAAATGGATAAGAGTAGACTCGCAGTTGGAGCCAACAAAGTAAACGACAGGGTTCACAAAACCCTTTGAGAAGCGGAAGCGTCGTCCTATGAGATGTATACAACGGCTAAAAAGCCAAAAACGCTAAATGCTGACTGTTGCGATGAGAGGCTGAGAAGAACGCCGCGCGCTATGATGAGAAAGGAAATTGTACTGTGTGGGTCGTGGGGTTCGTCTAAGCGGCAACCGTGTGGGATCGGAACAGCATCTTCAAGCCGGATGGTTCCTTTTCCTTCTTCCTACTGCTCTCTTTGCCGCTCTTACTTGAGGTGTCCTTGCCAACTTTACTCGAGCTATCCCTACCGACCTTGCTTGAGCTGTCTTTTCCAACCTTACTCGAGCTGTCTTTTCCAACCTTGCTCGAGCTATCCTTGCCAACCTTACTTGAAGCGCGCTTGGACTCGGAGGACTTGGACTCAGAGGGCTTGGACTTGCTACGATGTGACTTGTGTCGTGATTCGCTGGTGGTGGTCCTCTTGGACCTGGTGCTGCGGCGCGACTTGAGGTCATCTTCATCAAGAATACCCGCGTCGCAAAGCTCTCGTGATACTCCGGGGGTAATGAACTCGCCATCGACGCTGGTACCGCAGCTTTCGGCCTCGATGTCAGCAATTCCACGGCGCCACTTCTCGACGCGGCTGAGTTCCTGCGGCTGAAGCTCATCCAGCTCGTTACTGGGCTCTTCTATGGCAGCGGGGACGGCAGCGGGAGCAGTAGCGGCACGAGAAATCATGGGCTGCACGGGGGCTTCGAGAGGGTCGAACTGGTTTTGGGTTTGGATCTTCTTGATGATCTTGTACCCACCGAGGGCGACAATAGTAACGCCCACGGCAACACCTCCAGCAATCATAAACTGAGGGCTGAGAAGTAGTGCAGCGACTGCAGGAAAGCTGCCCTTGAGCGACATGAGAACACCAGGTCCCATTTTGGTGACGAGGGCGCTAATCTCGGCTAGCGTAAGCGAGACGGCGGCTAGCGCCTCTGGGTTCTTCTGTAGGTTCTCGATGATGGCGGTGGCTGTGTACTGGAGGGCGTTTGCCTCATCGAGAAGCATTTCGATCTTGGAGGCCTTTTCTTTCAATTCGAGCTCCTCGATCTGCGTGTCTGGTAGGGGTGGGGGCACATCGCCGTATGCGAGGTCCATATCGACGTCGGCGGTTTTGGCGCGGGGCTGGTCGGAATGCCTCCTCGCAATCTCTTTTCCGTGTGAGTCTTGGCCATTGAGGTCAGCCTCGAAGCGATGGCGGCTGCTTCGTGGAGCATCGGTATGGCCGCGCTCTAGGGGAGGGCGCCTGGAAGACTTGGATGCCTTTGAGCGATGGGAAGTCTGGGAGCGGGTGTCGTCATCGATGCGCATAGCATTTATGCTCTTTGAGAGTTCCTTCTCCTTGACAGCGGCATCGCGCTCAGCTTTAATTTCAGCCTTGCGCTCGCGGTATGCAGCCTTGGCCTCCTTGAAGACGCCAAAGATGTGCTTGCTCTGGAAGGGGAGTGGTCAGTATGTGTATGTAGTATGTAATGTAGGCGAGGGTAGGGTAAAAGAGGGGCTAGCTGAATTTGTCGACTACTTACACTGCTCACCACCTTGCCGCTCTTGTTGATCACTGTAATGGTTTCACCGAGTCCTACGGCCATCCTGACGTACTAGGGGCAGGTTGTTCCTGCAGTATGCACAACGGGCGGGACGACTGGGTTTTTGTGCGACCAGAAGGGCGTTGCGGTGAGGGTGGTTGTACTTGTGGTTCCGGTGTGTGAGGCGGTCAGGAGGGATCAATGCTCGCGGAAACGGGCAGCTGGCGCAACTCCACAACAAGGTTCCACCTAGGCCGTCTGTTTGTCGCGGGCGGGTGGCGGGCTCTATAAGGGGAGTGCGAGTCACAGTCCTGGCGGGATTACTGTCGGGGGTAGATTCGGGAGTGAGGCGATTTTGCGCCAACTGCGACACGCAGGCCATGATGACAGTGGAACCGCTGCGAGGGCGCAGACTGGCCGGAAGCAAGATGCATCGAAGGCCTCCACGCGACTGCCGTGTCGTCTCGGCCAGTACAGGAGGGGCAAGGCGGGCAGGCGTGTCGCCGTGTCAATGGGTGGTGCTAGGGACGCTACCATGGCGGCCGGATATGCGGGCAGCGAGACGCTGCATCAGATCCCTTTGGGCAGGGCATACTATTGGCGCGCGGCCCAGCCACTATGTTTCTTGCTGCCGACGTGGTGAACGTGTCGCTGCTGCGAGTGGCCGACTAGCCCTCTGTGCTGCCTCAGCTTCTGCGCGTGCTGATGCCATGGTGCAGACTGTGGTTGATGCCCAAGCTGCCGCCCGGAGGGGGGGGAGGGGGCTGCGGGATTTGCGTGACCAGCTGGCAGCGCTCCAGTCTACTTTTCGCTACTTTTCGCTGCTGGGGGGCGGGGGATGCTGGTCTTGACCGGCCTTGACAGGCCCTGGAGTGGCCCTTGAAAGTCCCTTGACTGGCCCTGCCCGGTTCTGAACCGCGCCTGCCGTGGCGCATGCTATGGCGCATGCTGTGGCGGTGCATCCCTTAACTCACCGAAGCTGTGGCTTTTCGAAGGGTCCAGACTGCCAGCGGTCGGTGCCAAGGCCTTCTCTCTGCTTCTGCTGCCGGCCTCTCGTTGTGACTACGTACCACCCAATAATTGTAATAGCATGCAAGGCTGCGTAAGACGTGGTCATGCCCTTTATTTTTCTCTTCTCTTTTTCCCTCTTTTCCCCGTAACATCAGCGGCGGCTGCTCCCCTCCAAGTGTGCCATCATTGTGGCTTGGAGCTCGCGGCTCCTCCTCGTCATCCCACGTCCACCGACTCTCAGGCTGCTTTTTCATATATTCACCGGTAGTAACAGCTTAGGTTTCCACCTACGTATGTATCGAATTGTCCGGTGCACTGGCCATGGCCTTTGCTATCGGAATGTCGGTATCGTGACTCTTCGCTCAGCCGGGGCAGAACACGACTTCACACCGTGGACCGACGATCACCACTCCATTCTTGACGTTTGCAATGGCTAACGGAACACACCCGTTCCTTTAAGTATGCATCACTATGTGGGTGCGTAACCCAGCGACCCTCTTCCACGTCTTTTCGCGTAGCACTGGCCAAACGGAAGCCGAGCCCAAAGCCGTCGTCGCTGTGACTGCTGCGCCTGCCATGACTGTAACTCCGGAGCTGGCTCTCCGCAATGCGAACACGTATCCGGCTTCGCAAACGGTCAAGCACACCACATTTATGCAATGCATTGCTAGCCTTGAGTGATGGTCGAGCGCTGGTTGTAGCGTAGACAGAATGCTCCCAATGGAAGGGGAGACATTCCCATACACACATATGGATTGCATATCGCCGTGAGCATCGGTAGCCTTCTTCTCATCACATTGCCATAGTCATGCAAGGTAATCAAGCAAAAGGAACCAGCGATAAAGGGGCTAAGGTATCTCGTCACTTGGTCCTGATACACCCTTCAAGCCCAAAGATGGCGCCATCTCAGGGTCATCGCTCGCCATGTACGAGCGGTGACGCTGACACCATGTGTGAGCACCAGTGCCTGAGCTCTCCTGCGACTTCGTCGACGTCGAGAGACGATGAGACGTTCTCCGACACGACACTCGACGATGTACTCGAAGACGACGAGCCGCTATCTCCTTGTTCAGATACCTTGACCGGGAGTGCGTCTTCGCATAGCACAGACACTTCTGCCCGTGCCATTTTCCCTTTGCATCTCATTTCAGGCTGCAGCTCAACTGGCAGAAACACAATGTGTACCTTTTCGCGGACCATTACCGCAGAAGAAGGCAGAAGGAAGTTTTTGGAATTGAGAGGTACGTAAGACGCGTGACCGTGACCATGGTCGAGGTGTGGTGTGGTGTGCTGGGCACGTAGTCAATGGATAGCCCCGCAGGCGGCACACCTAGACCCTAGAGCTCCGTCATCGCTTCGCTCGCTCCCTTGCCCGCTCAAACCATCACACGCGACCATGCAGGAACAACACCAAGGGCGTACTTTGGAGCCAGGCTGACCATGCCCACAGCAGTCCCTCCGCACGATGATACCGCCATGGGCACCGTGGGCACAGCAGACCCGGACCACCCACTCCCGTTCATGGATCGAACGCCCGCGCTCTCCCATCGCATGAAGCACGACAAGTCTATCCTGGCACTGGCACTGTCCTCGCAATACATCTTTGCCGGCACACAGGGCGGAGAGATATTGGTACGGGCAGCAGAGAATTTTGAACTTTCCTGCATCTGATGGCGTATTAGGTTTACAGCCTCGATACCTACGAGCTTCGTAGAGTCATACATGCGCACAAGGGCAGCGTGCTTGGCTTGTGCCTGTCGCAAGACCGCAAATGGCTCTTCTCGAGTGCGGCAGACCCCATTGTCAATGTCAGTGATTATTTCTGTCCACTGAGCGTGCGTACTAACTCGCCAGGTCTGGTGCACGTCGACATTCAAGCATCTCTATGCCCTCTGGTCTCCCTATGACATTGGTGACATTTTCTGTGTCGCCTACTCGTCCCAACACCATACTGTATACCTTGGCGCCCAAAATACAAGCATACAATGGTATGACTTGAAAGAAAAGGATACCCGGCCCACGCCCAGCCTCTCTTCACGCCCGACCGAGCGCAAGAACAGATTCTTTGACTCGCTCGGACCCGGTGGTGCCCAAACACCAAGGCCTGCTGGCGCAGATACAAGGCCGCGAGATGCAGCGGGTGGACAAGAACTGCAGATCGACAGTCATGACATCTGTCAGTTTGCCCACTATGGATACGTACACTGCATGCTCGTGGGGAGCGGCATACTGCCCGAAGCACCATCGGAAGAAGTGCTAGTTTCCGGAGGTGGAGACGGACGCATCCTGTTATGGAGAATAGATCCGTCACAGCGGGGCAGCATATCAGCCATCTACACACTCGAAGACGGGAGAGAAGAGGGCGAATCAATCCTGTCCCTGGTCAGAGAAGGGTCTTTCCTGTACAGCGGACGCTTCGATGGCGAAGTCAACGTGTGGGACCTGGAGACCAGGCAACTAGTGCGAAGCCTAAAGGCGAGCACTGGCGACGTGCATACCTTGTCGTTAGGCTCCGGTGCTCTGTATGCCGGTGGTAAGACTGGTGCTATGCAGGTGAGTCTTGGTATGAGCGGGCTTGAGCGGGCCAATCTGACGTGCTCAGAAATTCAACGAGCATTATGAGACCATTACGACTTTCCAAGCACACGATGGCTTGATTCTCGCATCAGCCTTCACTCGCTATGCGGAAAAGTCAATACTGGTCACGGGCGGCAATGACAACACCGTCGTCGTGTGGGAGGTTAAGGATTGCGCGGAGCCGGATGCCGCTACAAGAAGAAGCAACAATGGTGCGTACACGCTGGCATCCGTGAACCCGCACTTCTAATGTGGTGTGCAGATCTCATGGTGGAGTCTTTGAGTCAATTCGTCTCGTTTCGGACCGTATCGTCGCTGCCCAAGTATCGTGCAGACTGCCGCCGAGGTGCATCCTACCTTAGATCGGTTTTTCAGAATTTTGGTGCCGTAACCGAGATGATCAACACTACCGACTACAACCCAATAGTATTTGCCAAGTTCCGTGGTAACCCCGCCACAGCGGCATCGCGAAAGAAGATTTTGTTTTACGGCCATTACGATGTCATACCTGCAGAAAATGAGCAGCGCAAGTGGAAGCATGATCCCTTCACTCTTATAGGAGAAGGGGGCTACTTGTATGGCCGTGGCGCATCCGATAACAAAGGGCCCATCATGGCCGCCATCTATGCCGCACATGAATTGGCCAATGAGCAGAGCCTAGATTCTGACATCATTTTTCTCATCGAAGGTGAAGAGGAAAGTGGCTCTCGTGGCTTTGAAAAGGCCGTACGGGCTAGGAAAGACCTCATCGGTGACGTTGACTGGATTCTCCTAGCGAACAGCTACTGGCTCGATGACCATGTGCCATGTCTGACGTATGGACTGCGAGGCGTAATTCACGCTACTGTGCAGATTGAGAGTAAGCACCCGGACTTGCACAGTGGTGTTGACGGCAGCGCACTACTGGATGAGCCGCTCAAGGACCTCGTCATGTTGCTTTCAAAATTGACTGCTCGACATGGCAAGGTCCAGATTCCTGGTTTCTATGACCCCATCTTGCCTCTGGCTGATGATGAGAGGGAGCTGTACACTGAGATCACTAATACGCTCTTGCGCTGCAACCCTGACCTGGGCGACGCAGATGAATTGGCACAATCACTGATGCGTAGATGGCGCGAGGCTTCTCTCACTATACATCGCTTCCAGACATCGGGCCCAGACAACTCGACCATTATCCCGCGTCTTGCAAAGGCAGCTCTGTCTATCCGTCTGGTACCCAACCAAGAAGCCGGGGATGTAGCCAAGGCACTGAAGTCGTTTCTGCAAGATGAGTTTGAGCAACTCGACTCGAAAAACGAACTCAAGGTTACTATTGACCATCAAGCTGAGCCATGGTTGGGCGACTTTGGCAACGAAATATTCCAGACGCTCGAACGCGCCATCATGTCGGTATGGGGTCCGCGACTGGGCCAAAGGAGAGAGAGCATGTCAGCTGCAAAAGCCTCGGACTACTTTTCAGCGAATTCAAAGAGTGCAACAGAAGTCTCTTCTGCTACTAAGAAATCCGCTGTCCCCACAACGTCGAACACCCTAGCCAATTCTTCCGACCCGTCTCTTTCCACTGCAGTCGATCCAGGCTCTGCTGCTTCCACACCAAATCCGACGGAGGAGGAGTGTGTTCCACGCAAGCCTCTTTATATCCGTGAGGGTGGTTCCATCCCCAGTATCCGGTTCTTGGAGAAGGAATTCAATGCGCCTGCTGCGCATCTTCCGTGCGGCCAGGCAAGTGACAGTGCACATTTGGATAACGAGCGGTTGAGGTTGGTCAATCTATACAATAGTAAGAAGATTTTCAAAGAGGTATTTAGGGAGTTGCCTCGGAAATGAGGGGGGTGTTGTAGTGGTATTGGAGTTGGAGGGTTAGTCAATGGACTGTGAAGTGATCTTTTTTTTTCCCACA